ATGTAAGTATGTATGTATTGTACAAAGTACAGAGTACAACATCTGCATATCAGTACAAATACAGAGGTGCATCTCAAAAGTCTTTGCCACACTAGTAATTAGACTAGTACCAGAAATACATTGAACCCCATCAAATTAGTATAAATCAAGCTGTATCTTTAATCATAAATTTATTTCTTCTCTTGTACATTCTCTCAAGTATTTATATCTTCAAGATATAAAGCTGCTAGAGTCTCTGCAGTTTCTAATTTACTAGCTAAGCAATCTCTTTCTAAATTCTGTTATTTTGAGATCTTTCTCTTTAAATATTAATCTTTATATTTTTAAGAACTCTTATAATTACTTTCTTTATATTTATTCTCTCTCTCAAGCTATATAATCTCTTGAATATAATATAGAATTTACTTAATTTACTATTAAATCTTTTTTTATAAAAGTTTATTTCAGACTTACAGTCAAACTTTCTTTATAGTCTTGATTTTATATAAAGCTTTACAAGAAATTATATATTTTTTTATTTATATTCAAGCAGATTTTAGATAATATTTTTTCAGTTATTTAAAGTTTAATTTTTATAAATAATAATAAATTTCAGTTTTTTCTTTCTTATAAACTTAGTTAGATCAGATTTTCAAGTAGATTTAACATTAATAAAGCTATAATACTGTAGAATTTATCAAATACTTGAGTAAAATATACTAGATTTAAAGATAAGAATCTTAGTAAATTTCTCTTAGCCAGCTCTATTCTTGCAAATTAAATTCAATATCTTAGATTCTTTACTGAAATCTATATCTTTAGAATATTCTGACTTATTTTGTATTTTCAATAAATAAAATATTAATTTGCTGATTCTCTTGAGACTTATAATTATAGTTTTTAACTTATTTTTTAATTATACAGAGAGTTCTAGCAGAAATTTCTAAAGCAGTAGAGACTTTATTAACTGATATTTCTCAAGAGACTAAAGCTAGAGTCTGAATGCAAATAATAATTAAATAAAATTAATTATTTTTGGACATTAGAAATTATAATTGAGATGAGATTCAAGCTGGTAATTATTTTGAAATCAAAGATACATGTAGGTCTGTAGTTATTTGGTTAAAGGGTATTGTACTTTTGATACAGCTATAATTACTAGCGTGAGGAAAGACTTCTGAGACACACCTCCATATACATTCGCCACAAGGAGTATAGAGCACAAGCAGAGCCACTGCTCGGTGGTTGACTCGTTATCGATAAGTGATACCGCCCCTCACTTTTTCCTGACGCCGATTCTTACCAAGGGTTGATTCGCGGGGAATAACAAAACTTTTGAAGGAGAATGGCCGAACTACAGGAATTCCTATTACTGACTGAATCTGACAAAGCCGAGTCAATTCGACTCGCCGACATAACTGCGCAAAGTACGCTTCATTCCTGCTCTGCTGTCGCGTTTCCACGGCTGATCCAGACCAGAACTGGTCACAAAACAAGCAACCCTGATCGGCGTCGTGCAATCACTAGGCGAATACATTAATGACGAGGACTCCATTATACGGGGCAAAGCTGTCTCGTATCTAACAGCAGTGATAAGGGCGCTCCCGTCTAATTTCCTCTCCCGCCAACAGATCCAAGTTTTGGCAACCTTCTATTGCGAGCGGATTGAAGACGAGGGTGCCATTTCGGGCTTAAAGTCACTACAGAGCCTTAACCGCTTGGATAAGAATATAGCACAATTGATTGCTCGAGGGTAATTACGTCGTTACCAGCCAGGTTTCTCCCGTGAACCCTCTCTTTTAGCCGCTCCTCCCGCTGTCCGACCATCAGTCCGCTAATATACGAACAGGCTTTTTCAGCATGGCTCAAATCTCCAAAAACGCTCACAGTCTCAGCGTTTTCAGTTTCTTCAGCTTCTCAACGAGCTGATGCTCGGGCATCGAGAAGGTACCTCGGCATTCTGTCCCCTGCAAAACACCGCTGGGACTAACTGTCGACAGCTCTTCGAGACATGAAAGACGAGTCCCTTGTCGGTATGGTTAAGCTCATGGATGGAGAAAGGGATCCACGAAACCTCATGCTTGTGTTTTCCATCCTTAGGGTCGTGATGGTAGAGTGGGACATATCTGGTCATGCGGAAGTATGGCACCCCTTATTTCCAAACGGAATATTGCTAAATCTCCTTGAAAGACTCTCTTCGATTCCGTATACAGATACTTTCCTGTGACGTTCAGGTCGCATCCAAATGACCCTTACAAAATCACGGCCCAAGATTTAAAGGACCGTCTCCAAGATTGTCTTGCCTCGAACCAAGCCTTCGCTTCCCAGGCATTTCCAACCTTACTCGATAAACTTGACTCAAATTCAAGCAACGTGAAGGTACCAGATGCCTACCATTTTTCCGAAGTCTTCTAACTTCGGGGTAGAGGGATTCTTTGAACGCCCTAAAAGCTTGTATTCTCTCGTACGAACCTTCAGTTTTAACGCGATACTCCATCACTATCTGGGATTCGTTGAAATTCGAAATCCTCAACGCGCAGGAAGACGTCCTTGCTGAAGAGTCTTTGCAAGTCCTGCAGTCATTATCAAAGAGGCTCTCCTCCCACTCCAAAGCAGGAAACCGGTCATTGCTAGCCCATTATTTGAAACCCATTTTACAAGAATGCAATGAGCAGTTGCGGGAACCTCTTCAAAAGCAAGCGAAACCTGCCCAGCGAATATTAGCGTCACTCTCATCTGTTTCCTCCCCAGCATTTCGATTGATTTCGCAAGGCGCGATTCCTCCGCTGCTTGCGAATTATCAGAATGCCGACGGGGTATCAAAACGGCGTGGTTTACTAGATGCTCTGGTTGGGCTATTTGACTCCGCCATTACTAATTTTGGTACGTGGATTGCGGCGGGCCCTGCTGAAACACCTGACAACCCGCTCTCAGAGTTTCGAGACCAGCTTATCAGGATGTTTAGTCAGGCCTTAATGGGTTCTGGGAAGGATGAATTAGCACTGCTGAAGGTAGCGCTTCGCGGAGTGTTACAACTTTGTATCCTCCGAGATTTTCTCCAGGACAATGAGGTCGGGATGTATGTGCAAGATCTTGGCGATATACTGCTGAACAAACCGTCCATTGAACGCCAAATAAGACAAGAAGTTGTTGGCACCCTCGCAGAGATCTCGAAACACAAGCCGGCACTGCTCATAAACATAACAATTCCAGCTTTCATAGCCAATCTTCCGAAGTCTAATAATACCCCGACTTCCAAGTATCTCGCCACTTTGGAGAACCTTGCACAGGTCGCTATTGACCAAGATGTGTTCTACACTCTTGTTACTGCACTGTTGGCTAAGTTGGAGACTATCCTTACTCCTGGAAATTCGAGCACACCGGCGTATCCCAGGTCCATATTGATGACTATTTTGTATGCGATGAACCGCAAGGGTCTGGAGAACGATCCCCATATGGAATTGTATTACGAGGGGATTGTCCGCAACTTATGTCAAAAGGCCGCATTGGCAGCCCTTCGGGACGAACAGACATCGCTTCTAAGAGATTCTACCGTTCTTGATACACTTGGTCGTCTTTGCAATCTTATCGTCCGCTCCCTGCCACACCACAAACATCAGGAGGTTTGCTACAATGTGTACCGTTTATTTGTGGAACATGACCAATTCCCTACGGTCCCTTTACACGAAAATTCGACAGTATCCCAGAGACAAACTATGATTTTGTCGACATATCTTCTTGCAGGGCTCCCGAAGAATGGTATTAGTCTGACACATGACATGGCGGGTTTGCTCAGAAAGATTGCGCTGCTTGCTACGTCCGAGGATAGCTCCCCCATTCAGTTTGGGCTTGTTAGGCACCTGGCACTGCTCATTAACAAATTTTTGCCTACTCCCAACTTGGAGATAGCCTCCAGAATTCTATTCTCCTTAATGCCGGCGTCGCAAGAACAAGGAAAGGCTACTTCAGGTTTAATTCGGACAATATTTTGGATCTCGAAAGCTATCATATCAAGACTTCCTCCAGAAACTCCCCGAATTCTCTCGTCTCTCGTGGAATTGCTCGCATCCTCGGATCCCCTTGTACGGGGAGCGTCATCTGAAGGCTTTCGCATGTTGCTAAGTGCGGACGATGTCTTGTGTACTGAGAATGGCGCTAACATCCGCCTACTTGCGAAACAGCGCGTATTCATTACGGTTGTTCCGCTTATTTCTGAAAAGGTTCGTGCACTTGCCACGTATGCGGGTGATAGCGCAGTACCTTCATCTAGACATGCTTATAGGAAGCAAGCATATCTTTCAGCTTTGTCTGGCATTTTACGCTCGGTACCCTCGTCACTTGTAATGACCCAGCTGTCAGTGCTTCTCCCGCTTCTTCTCCAGAGTTTAGATCTCACAGGCACCGATTCCCAGCCAATCAGAACAGCCACACTCGAAACACTCGCTGTAGTCATTCGTGAAAGCGGTGTTCATGTGATTGACAAAATCGGTTACCTAGAAGATCTAGTTACGAGATTGCTGCAAGCTGCGGGAACAACGGCCAGTGATATCAGCAGGGGCGGTTATAACCAGGCCATCTCGAATACCCCAGAAGCCCGCCTGCGTGCCCTCCAATGTCTCCTCATCCTAGCGCTACCACAGCCAGCCGAAGGAGGTGGAGTCACAAAGCCATCAGCTTTACTCCCATTTAAAAATCGCGTCCTCATGGGCCTGAAATGCATACTCGATGACCCGAAGAGGGATGTTCGTAAAACAGCTGTGGATGCACGCATGGTGTGGTTGAAGCAGGGTGGTGACAACCTAGGGAATGATAGTTAGGCTGCGAAAATTATTGACCCATGTGCACAAAATCATGAGTAGTTCAACTGTTCGTTGAACTTCGTTGAGGCTTGATATGTTATTTAATAGTTACAATGCATGTGCTTAAATGGGTGTGTTTTAAAAAAGCAAAACAATTCAGGGATTAATATTGATTGAGTGGCATGAATGATGGTAATGATTCAATTTCACAATCACCATCAATTCAGACCTTAGGCATAGCTAACAGAAAGCTGGCGAAAAAAGAGCAAGCAAAGCATTGATTAACTTGTCAACAAAGCGACGTCGTGCTAGAGCCTGCTGCAAGATCTCGACGTGGTTGGTTAGTTCCTCGTCAAGACACAAGGTCCGTTGCGTCACAGACATCTACCAAAATTCTCCCACATCCCCTGTATCTCTGCCGCTAATGCTTTCCAAGCAGTCAACCCCTTCCTGGAGCATACGCCGCTCCATGTCCCTAAGCGGCTCAGCGATCCCCACATTGGGAACAGCTGCAACAGCGAGGTTGGACGCGGCGGTGGCACTTGAAGCTGGAAAGCTTGTTCTTGCTTCAGCAGTAGGCCCTGAATTAGCCCACCCTACCCCATCAATATGCACTGGAACTTGGGACGCAACCCGGTACATACTGGCCAAGCCATTAGATCCAACCCTTCGCTTGGTTTCAGACGGGTATTCGGTCATGATATTAGCATCAATTCCCATCAGGTCCGCTGGTTGCCAATCCCATACACGTGCACCCACAGGAAGGCTTCTGTTTGACTCCAATACCTTGTCAACGGCTGGGCTAACAATGCACGCTTCGTACCACAGTCTCGAATTATCAACCATTTCATCAGGGCTAAGAGCGCGAGCCCGAATCAAAGTCTTATCGGTCGCCATCCGACCAAGGAGCAAATTCTGTACTTCCGTAATTTGCAGGTATAAGCCTCGCTCTGACGAGGAAGCACTTGTCATGTTGGATGGCAGGTTACAATGATTTTCACTCCATGGTTGTGCTTGCGGGTTGTACTTCACGCTCCTCACGTCTTCGAGGCAATGATGACGAGTTGTTCGCCGCATGAAGACCTTTGTAATATGGAGGATGTCAAAGTTGTCAAGTCGGGTGAACAATAAGACCTTTGCTCTGCCAGGATAGACATAGAGGTTGGAAATGAGGGCCTCCACGGCACAATCGACCTCCTTATCAACCCCCGGAGCATATTCCTGCGCCCCCTTGATAACAACCCTCATATCCCAAATTTGCTGTGGAAAGTGTACGTTCACCGCTCCGAGAACAATCTCAGGCCTGGTAACAACAGTCATCCCGGTCTCGTTTACATTAATCACAATCGGCTGGTTGTTCTTGGTCTGGCAATGAAATTCGTAGCTTACAGAGCGAACGGACGGATTTCGCGAAAACAAACTATGGCGAGAGTCGTTTTTCAAATCAAGCATATAGTCAATGTCTGCGCCGGACGAGGTGAGTAAATTCATGAATTTCGTGCCCGGCCCTCGAAGGCCATGCTGTGGTCGAAACAGTTTTTCCCATGTCTTCACATCAATCGCCTTGTCGACATAAATTTTGGGTACATTATGTATCAAAATTAACCCAAACTGGATTTCAAGCGAGACTATGCCGCTGAAGCATTGTACTGCGGTGAGAAGAGGGTTCAGGGCAGTGTAAAGATCAGCTATGCGATTATTCTCACGAGCTCTCGGTTCTGCCAATTGTTCTCTCTTCCACTTACTATATTCCGGAGACTCTGCCCGTTTGGCGGATGCAGAGGCCCCTGTAGGAACAGGAGTTCCCCAGGCTTCCGCAATTGCGGCCTTTTTTTTAGCCTTTCGACTTGCTTTTGAACTGCGCCCGCTCCCGATATTTGAAGAGTGTTGCCTCATTATTTTACAGAAAACCCTCGTCTCCACTTCACTGACAGGTTGCAAACGCTCTACGATATGATCAGAGGATAGCATTTCACATTTAGAGCGGGAACAGCGACGTTGAACCCCACCGACATTTTGATCTGGGTTGTTTAGGGAATGGCCTTCTTTATTTCCGTCTGCAATCTTCGCCAGGTCCTGGCCAGGTCGTTCCACGTTCTGACTTTGTATGGGCCTTTGTAGAAACCCAGCCCCTTGTAGATCAAGGTCTGGATTCAGAAACCTAAAGCTCGTTTCCAAGTTAAAACTGGAAAGAGTCGAATCTCTTCTTTCTGTACCAGTCATATGAGAGGCGATGACCAATTCGGAAGATGTGGGTAGTGGCACAGAATTATTAATCAGTGCTGCGTTTGGGAGGTCTGGCTTGTCAGGCGAAAACGTGGCTTGGCTAGGACAAGCGGGAACAAGGGGCGCCTGGTCGAATGCCAGCGTTGGGGCAGCAGCGGCGATGGTATCAGAAGCATACGAGGTATCGATCAACTCAGATACTTTCGTCTTCGAACTCCTCAGAGCGTTTGATTGTGCGTTGAGCTCACACTGAGTGGTAGATAGATTTGGCTGACAGGCCTCAACGCCGGTTAGATGTGATCCAATGGACACAGGCATTGGGGCCTTGATGCCAAAGGAGTGCGGCTCTCGAGTTTGATGCAAGGAGCCTGCAGAGCTAGTAACCATGGCTACACGTTTTTTAAGGCCGGGGGCAGCAAGTAGGGGCGGAGTCGGTTCTGGTGAAGAATCATAAGCACGTAGAATATTCGGCGGCCCAGAACATGAAGGTCCCACAACCCCGGCTTCGAAACCATCGGAAACCCACTTATCAACGAGTGACACTTTTTCACGGCTAAGAAATGGATGTTTATCTCCTTCCGTCTCCTCCGATAACGTAATGTGAGGGGCTGAATAGGTCTGGTAACACTGTGCTCCGTGGCGAGTGGTGGCTTCATCAGTAGAAGGGGTATCCGGGAAATTATCAACATCCCCGAGTTCCGCAAACAGAAAATCAGACCAGATGGTTGGGCGCCCTTTTCGGAGCAGCGTGGGTCGTGGAGGAGCAGCAATATTTTTGGGCAGCTCGCTGGTTTTGTTTTCTGAATTTGGAAATTCTATGACTGTTGCATACATTTTCTCAAACTGGGTTTCTCCCTTGACACGTGGGTCAACGAGAAGCCGTCGGAGAGCCAGATGGTTCAGACTCGCGTAAGTACGCAATCTCAAAGTGAAATCTTTACTGTCAGTCATATGTAGCATATTCTCAACATGAGACGATGTTGCAAGGGACTATTATTTGGCGACCGAGAGTCAGCCTTGCTCACTTCCAGTTCACACCAAGGGAAAGAAGAGATAACCAGCTTGACAGTCTTTACTTACTATAGCCCTATCCAGATTATCGAGCTTATGAACAGCGTCTTCAACTCGTGCGGGAACGATACTTGCTACTCGAATTCGCTTATTTTCCGCGTCCAAATCAATCTGTGCTCCCGTTGCATCAGCAACTTCAGCCAACACATCATATGGCAGCCTTAAAAAGCATTCTACCCCGCCGGCTTTCGATTCCCAATGTTTGCCTGGGAGCGACATTGGAATGGCTTCTTGCACATCACTAGGCGTTTCCATGAGGGAAGCTTCATCATTTTCTGAGCTTGATTCGAAACCCCGCTCCTCCATTGACGGAGGTGCAACAATGCGGGTGATTTTGGGCCTCTGCCACAAGGTTATTAATGAATAACTACCCCATGCATGTTGATCAACATTGAAAAGTAGCGCGAGGAATACCTCTAGCAAATCATTGTCCTTCTCCTCGTCAATAAAAGACGCTAGTAGTTGACCGAGAGCGGAAGTTTTTTCGGCGGTCCCGCTGCTGTCAACGATAAAGACCTGCAGTGACCCAGTCAGGGCGGTGATTCCTTAACACCTAAAAGGACATCTCTCACATCGTCCGGCTGTTCATATCTACAGGATATCCCTGTATCTTCGATGTTCCTTTAGATAATATTTGTGAGAAAAGATTTCGTCTCCTTCTCCTTTTCCTCTTTGGTTCGGGAAAAGCATTTGGTATGTGGAAGCTGTCATACTTAAGATTGTCTCTTATTTCAAGAATCTGGATATCAAAACCACCAAGCCAATCGATTAGCAAATTGTCTATTAAAGATAGTGTAGAATGTGCAAGAGGAATAATACCGCTTGAGGATTAAACTTCCAGGTAGAAGCCACGGTCAACTTCTGTCTTTCATCCATTTCAGATGGCTTGCAACTTCAGGCAGGTCGGGTGGATGGCTGCAAGGGACACAGGCCAAACAGGCTAGAGCACACCTTAAATATATAACGTCACTGGCTGTAGGCAAACACCGGATCTTGTGAGGGGCGCAACAAAATTAATGCCTGTATGACGACCTGTTCTGTTTAGGTAAGCGCTGAAGGGAGATTCAATATTGAAAAGCTTGCGTCAAGGCACTGCAGATGGGGAATCAGAATGCATGAGAGATAGCCTTGAAGCTCTGCAACCAAAAATAAGGAATTTCCCGGTGAGACAAATCAAACAAAAGTTTGCTTTAAGGTAATAAACAAGAGCGCACATGCTGTGAGGCTTTTGGAAAGGGCAGGCTCAATTGCCAGAGTGAATTGTCCTGCTCATTATCAGCATTGCAGCAAACGTGCCTCCAGACACAGAAATACCAGCAGTAGTTCTTATCGACAGGCTTTAACCCCAATTTTCAGGCTTGGGATAATATTTGATTGCAAGAAAATCAAGCACCTCATAAAGAATCCCCTCCATGCTCAAGTGTGTGCATAGAAATGTAAGCAAATATATGGTTTCATGGTAACCCAGCGGGTTCGTACATGCCAACGTAGGGAGACCTTACAAAGAAAGGGTGTCCTTTCGGGTGGGCTGTTTCAAGGCAAAGAAGATCCAAATATCATGGGTAAACCTAGTCCATTCCCGGAAGAAGAGCTCCCTTGTCGCGATAAGGCATGAATTGCCTTTCAACCCTCTAATTCTGGAATATTCATGCGGCGCGGCTCACCATGCCACACGCTAGTGTAAGCTCTTTCCACAGCTAGTTGCGGTAATCTTACACTGTGGAAAGGATGTAATTGGTACGTACATAAAAAATGGGAGCCTCGATTCCCGGGAAAGAGATGGGCGTCCGAAAAGGCCATATCACCTTGACTTTTAAAGGGATAACAATATTGCCGAGACGGCGATGTCTGGGGACGCCAAATGAAGTTCGCAGTGTCGACATCGCTAACTATAGCGTAGTAGTTCCTGGTTCCATGGCCCATTTCTGTTGTTCAGCCAAACTCCTATCAGCCGGTTTTTTCGAGCATATATATGCATTTGATGATCCAGGAACGTTGACAGAACACCAAGCCATCAGAAAATAGAAATCCTGAGGTAGGGTATATAGGCCGAGATGTCTACTTGTCTTGGAGAGAGGCAGATGTGAGACGTAAGTCTGCCTTTTGAAACGACCCTTCACGGTCCCAAGGATGTTGTAAAATGACTGGTCTCTCAATGATGCCTACTCCAGCCCTTTAACCACCTTCTTCACATTCATTGTCCATTTCATTTTCTCTGTGGTTTCCTTCGCCTCTGCAACAGCCTCATCGATCCTCGAGTCGTTCCGATACCCTCTCTCAACGATATCCCTAATCTCCTGCTCCCTGTCCGCCTTATATTCTTCGAATATTCGACTGAACCGTTCCATACGATCGCGACCTGCCGCGATTTCACGATTTTTCTGCTCGATGATGACGTCAAATCGATTGAGCTGATCTTGTCTTTCTGTTTCTCGAAGGGAAAGTTCCCTCAATTCTTTGCGAAACGTGTTGAGTCGGGACTGATATTCCCGCTTATCTCTTAACCGGGCTTGGGACAAAGTTTCATACTGGCACCGTGCTTGCTGAGCTGTTTCTTGGGCTTCGGCGAGGGCCCGACGGTGTTCATTCCGCTCTTCTGTGGCCAATTGCGTGGTCCTCCGAGCATCTTCTTCGGCCTTTATACGTCTTTGTTTCTCGTTGAGAACTTCGGATTTTAAGTCATTGATCTTCCTATCCTTTCGCTCAACAGCTGCCAGATTCATTTCATACGCCTGCTCCGAGTTCCTTAATCGGTCTATCACGGTCTGCAGTTGTTGTTTTAGAGCTTCATTCATCCGCTGTGCTTCTTCGGCGCGAGACCGTTGGAGGCTACATTCACGAGTTAAGCGTGCAATGTCTTCTTGGAGGTTGTGGATAACGCGGCCGGATTTACCGGTCATGGCATGCCCCACCGCTGAGGACCATTCTGTCGCCGTAGACGTTCCGTTTGTCATTGTGGACGGTGAGCGAGACACTGCATCTGACCGATTGAAAGAGGGTCACTGGTAAGCTCCCAAAGAGTGTAAAGTTAGTCGTACAAATCGGAAATGCGCACCTACCAGGTATATTATCCGTTACAGTACTGGCGTGTCTTTCAGATGGCGCGTTCGTCGTGTCAAACAGGCCATTATATTGGTGCATATTTAAACGTGGTTCAATCGTAGTGAGAGAGACTTGGGGCGGGGATTCTGCTAGGCAGGTGGTAGCGACCAATCGAGCGTCAGTAGAAACTCTTCGAATACCGAATAAGTTCTTGACCATTCTGACATGGTCCATTAAACTTAGGCAATGTGGCTCCAAAAAAAAAGAAGCAACAGAGCTGAGAAAGCGAAACGATGATCAGAGTTCTAGTACCGCGAATTGAGTCCAGCTTCCACCTTTGCAGTTGAATCGATCAGGTAGGGCGACTAGTACTTTCAATTCATTGTATAGACACCATTATAGAGGACGTGAATTTGTACTTCATCCAGACGATGGACGATATAAAAGGTAGTGCAAAAGAATGAACGTAGGGCTTGCATGCAACTAAGCCTTGTAGGGCACGCGATCCCGGAATGTCCAGTGGAATCAGCAGGCCAACAGACCAAAAGCACTAAAGCATCAGGAATGAATGTGTGTCAAAAAAAGAGCGAAACCTGATATGTATTTATCTGCAAGTATTGTGACGTGGAGGAAAGTTTAGACAAGAAAATGGTTCCTCGCTACATTGCACAGAGTTCAGGTTCTTAGTAAATACATGCCCAACCTACATTTACACACATGTATCTAAATTGAGCGGCAGATATGTATATACTTCCTGTAACTACATAGCAGATTTGAAATCTTGGGACTATGGGAACAAACCCATTTGCTCCATACATGTTCAAAAATCTTATGACAGTGTCAGTTTTAGTTGTTTCGTTTCACCCACAAGGTGCTTGCATGATAATATAGCAAAGTGTAACATTAGAGCAAGGCTGTGAAATCAACTGACCAACTGCCAAAGACAAGCTTTTCAGTCACTATGGTGGTCATTCACTCGGCATAGGCACCAGGATAACACATGTCCGCAGCAGCCAGGGCTCAGAGGCACGGCTGCGACAAGCAGTGCTAATGAGATGCATTAATTCAACCGCCAATTGTCCTCTGTGTTCTATAACACCATACTTGGTTAATCAATTGTAACTGGTTTGTTTCTTTGAATATGGATTCACTCTACAGAGCACTCTGTATATGTATGTATAGAGTATTTGTAAACCAGTTCATAGATTTCAAACACCTATCTGATGAATGCCTGCATCAATTTGCTCCACAAATCAGTATGCTCAACCAGCCCATTGGCTCTTTTACAGTGCAATGCACCTTGTCTAAGCATAAAGTTTTGACCAGAACTACTCTATATTATGAAATAAAAGGTTTCCTACATCACGGAGAAAGATGAGAATCAAGAGCATCAATTGCGCATCTTCTGTTCTTTGATTAAAATAAAACACCGCAAAGCGAAAGCCCAAAGAGGGAGTTTCCATCCCCTTCATTTTCAATAAAACAAGTAAGTGATCACAATCCATAAATAAGCCCCATTTAGCACAGTTTCTCGCGAAAATAGCCATTGACAAAGAGGTATATCATAACAGAGATAAAACGAAATAAAATAAAAGTAACACTACTCTGGGAGTAGGAGGAAACAAAATCGACTACATAATTCCTAGTTTAAATAAACAAATGCGGCAAGGCCACCAAGCGCAAGAGCAACAGGTCTGGACAGAATGGCCGGGGCGGCATTTGGAGTGGATGTGGGAGCAGAAGGTTCAGATTCCGTCGGAGCAGCAGTTGGAGTCAGGGTAACAGCCCTCGTGCTGCTAAGAGCAGGGGTGCTGATGGTCGCGTTCCGGGAAATGCTCAGGCTTGTACCCCTACTGATATGCGAAGTGGTGACACCAGTGGTGAGCTGAATCGTAGTGGACGTGGCAAAGGTAGAAGAATAGGGGGTTGCACTCAAAGTTGCGGAGTCTGTGGATGGAATAGCACTGCCGGAACCACCCGAAATGGAGAAAAGGTTGGTATAATTGATGTCGGAGCCCTGATTAATCTGGAGAGCATAGTCATCGCCGTCGACAAGCGAGGACGAAGGGGTCCAAGTATAGCTTCCTCCAGTAGCAGAAGCTACCGAGCAGCGCAGTTAGACATTTTATTGGGGTGTTTGAGGATGCCAAATACTTTGTATACTTACAGGTCAAAACAGCAATATCCTTGAGGTCATCACTAGGTCCTTTTCGCAATTTGATAGTGACAGGCTGTGAAAATTAATATTGGCCTTGCAAGAATGAGGCAAGTGAGGTACAAGTATACCTTTGTCGCGTCGCCGCCAGCCCATGTCACAGTCACTGGCTTGCCAACCTGGACATCACTTGGGAAAGATGTGAACGCCAATTCACCCTGAGCAACAGTGGAAGCAATCAGAGCAGCGGCTGCAAGCAAGGTTCTAAAGAAATGCATTGTCTCAACAGCTGAAAGGAGTGACGATTAGAAAAATTAATCTATGGTTTCGTGAGAATGATTGGGAGAAAGCGAATGTGCTAGATATAGATCGATTGGTCTAAGTGAAGGAGTGTAGAAGCAAAAGCAGCGAAAGTGCAAAGCACGAGAAAAAGGAGCGACGGTGCTTTCAGCAAAAGGGACACATGGGTGAAAGAGTAAAAGGTGCGAAGACCAGGAGCGCGCAGAGTTTTTGAAATCCCCCCTCGAAGCCTAAGATTGCACGAGGCATGGCAGGCTGGTTGCTATTCCGCCCACGACGCTGATTGGGCTTTTCGCCCTGGTCACGCCCGACTTCTCCGCTATGAACGTTCAATAGCGGGAAGCGGACCATGGCGACGCGGAGTGGCTAGTCCCCATCCGGGAATCAGCGTGCCTGGGGAAGTTAATCCCTGCCGTTGGGGGACTCGCAGCTCAGGGGTAGTTGCATGCAGGCGTCGGACGGGCAGACGGCAAGGGACCCGGCAGCTGCGTTCTCCGACGAAATGAGAATCGCCTGCTTCCATTTGGAAGAAAGGATAAAATCTCTTGACGACAGGGAGTACGGAGTATGTACGACATTCAACCCTTGGAAGAAGTTCAATGCTCCATAGTTGGGCCGACTATTCATGTACCCCTGAGGACTGGCCGGAATTCGAGCGATTCCCAAGGTTTGTTGCTGTTGACCAACTTAACTAACCGAGAAGTTGGTCTGGCCGAAGGGTGGCGGCCCAGCAGCCTTGTGGGTGAGTAAGAACTGTCCAAGCATGCCTGGGTTCGGAGAGAAAAATATGAAAAAGCTCTTCCGTTTCCTCTCCAGCTTTCAAGGACGTTGGACATGGATAACTAGAGCACTGATGATAACCGATTGTGAATCGGTATTTGACTGGAGACAAGTTAGATCCTCCCCGCCCTGCAGTCAAAACTTTTTCTTTCTTTATTTCGGCTGGACTGCCTTGGTTAAAGAAATCTTCAACTGCCATGGACTGCCCCGCAAAACGCTTTTCCATAAAGTACCAGTCCAACCACTTCCATAAAACACCTTGTGCTTTGGCTATCGGCTAAATGCACCGAGTAGACTTGAGGAAGTCCGTAACCGTCGCCGTCAAGCTCAATGGGATTTTCGAACCTGGATTGCTGAAACAGAATGGCTATGGCTGTGTCTTGGAATTATTTATCACCGCGTTCTCTGGATGGATCCGAAAACGAGGAGCTGCCGGGGGTCGAAAGCAGACGCCCGTCAGCGTGTCCAGCTGCAGCAGCGCATCCGAAGCCCACGCCTCCTCGGCATTTGGGATTTGCGGTCCTAGCTGCCTGCAACGCAGACAGTCCAGTGCTCTGCTCTTTCCGAAATATAGGGCGTACCTTCGACACGCGCCATCGCTGGCCATTGTCGATGGTCGTGTTCCATCTCTTTCGGCTTTTCATGCCGGTGTCCTAAGACATCAAGGATTTCACTCGTTTGTCCTGCATTCCACCCTATTCATGCCTCCGTTAACTCCATATCTATATTGTCATTCGCTAACCGCCATCTAACTGTGATATCCTATTGCCTGTTATTTCTCCCTCCCCGAAACAAGGGATGTTGATTGTTGGTCACTAGCTCCATGGATTCTGTGCAATATAACCCTCTTAACCCCAGCCTGCACCTTTCTCGAGGTACCATTCCGTTGAACGCACGGGCCAGATATTCTGAGGCCCATATCGACAGACCTCCTTGTCCTTTCGGAGACCCGTCTCCGCGACATGCGCCCGATAGCGATCCCCTGGCATCGCCCACGGTCTCCGGAATAAATACGGTTACCTTTAGATCAGAGCCGTCCGAGACAATCATAAATATCCGCCATTATGCAGCTCAAGATCTAGCCACATGCCGCAAAATCATCGTTATGCTCGAATTGACCCGAATGCGCAAAGCCCGAAAAGGAATAGGACATTGGATTCTTTTCTGGAGACAGATCTACGACCCGGGCCTTGCCCAAGCAATGACCAGAGCCGTTACTCTCGTGTTTCTAGAAGTAGAGCAACTTTTCCGTACAATGGCACAACAAATGTGTTTCATAACCCGCAATGTTGGCAAGCGAATGGCACATTTGCGAACTATCCACGAAGCGAGAACCATATGGCGCCAGCTGGAACAGCAAATCATCTGGTTTAGAAAGGTAAGACGATCTCGCGCGCAGATTCTCTTTGATAAATTGAGACGTTGTCTGGAGAGCATCCCCGTCGATGTTCCCGATCACCTTTTCGATGACGTGAAACGAGGTATTTTTGCGCTTGATCCTTTCGGCGACTATCATCCAGGAGACTCCATGGCCGAAGAATGGGATAAACACGCTGTCGGGAAAGAGTATGCAGAAGTCTATCTCAGGCAGCAGCCAGATCTGCCTTCCAGGCCGGGGTTCAACGGTGAATTCCAAGGAGCTCTCCATGCAGCATCCACGGGGCTTGATTGGTTCAGCAACGATGTTGGAATGACGTGAATATTCGCCGGAGCAATTGGGATGATTCAATGGGTGAATACACAAATGCCGACGGATTACTCGATGCCTCTTCATTTTCGGTAATTATGGATCATATTTGGAGAAACGTTGATATTTCAAGACAGGGAAACACTTATTATTACCTTCTCCCTTTGTGGTTCGGCTTTACAATTGGTGGGCAACTGCTTGTATTAGTTACTTAGGTTTCCCTTTATTTTATTTTTTCTCTCTCGCAAAGGAGCTGTTCTCGATTAATGCTTACGATACTAGGGGCTATTGATCGGAGAAATAAATTCTTCAGAGGCTTGAAACCTTTCCTTGACATCCACTGAATTGTATGTGCCTATTTGTACCGAGTACTTCAGATGAGATGTTAATATTAATAATGCATTTATTCAAACTCTTCAGCAAGACCTAGCTTTCACGGGTATAACACACAAGAAGATCAGAAAGTCTGCTCACTTCTCACTATTCAAAATTCCACAGCTGTCTGAAGATGTTTCCAAGCTCAGTGTCATTCCCACCATCTTCCTCAAGTAGGCGATCTGTAAATATTCTCTTGGGAATCTGAAACTCCACAACAGGAGGTTTCTTAAACTGCTTCTCCTCGTTGCCCAACTCTGCGACTATTAAGGCCTGGTAAGAATGATCCAGAAAGTCTTCTAGATTATACATTTGCTTAGTGAACTGCTCGGATATGATTTTCGCTAGCGCCGCCACATTGGGATGATAGTGAGTCTGTAACATTTCAATTTCCCAAAGACTGCTTTCAATAGCATCCGTGAGAGTTGGGTCCGATTCTAGGGGGTCAAAGGGATCGTCGATCCCTTCAGCGTCAATTTTAGCTCGGAGCGACTCATTACGGAGTGCACGATGTACCATGAATGTACACGATGGATGAGACTTGAGGAGGTTATAGATCCATGGTACGACTGCCACGATCGCTGCGGGGGGAGCGTTGAGCGCCAGCCGGGAGAGTCGCTTTATAAAACTTGCGACTAGCGTCGCTGGGAGGTGAGTTGATGATAGGAACGTATCGAGAAGTCGGAAAAAGCGGGATCGGTGTTTGGAGTGCAGGAGATCAGGGTCAAGTAGGGAGTACAGCTTAGGGTAAAACTGTGGATAGTCGAGATTCTTGTTCTGTATAAGGTAGAACAGCCCCGAAAGGGATAGGAGCGAAATCGAGCCACCCTGGTTATAAGAATCGGTAAGGAAGTCCATCAGGAGTTCTGGTTTCATAAACCAGGGGACAATTTCGTGTGTCATCATTTGAAGTAGCCTCTTTCGCACAGATCGTTCTCGACCATTTAAGAGGACAAGCAACCAGGCGGATTGAACTCGTTGTTTATAGGAATTTACGGACATTAATGGGCCTTTGACCTTTTGGCTAGCTTTGGATATGTCGGTGTAAAAATTCTCGAACGTCTGATTTGTGGTAGGAGGTGTCCCGAGTTCAGAGAGAAAATAGATAACGTTTGTCAATGCAATTGCAGACGGTTTTACAGATAAATAATTTCTAATAAAAGAGAAAAAGGGTTAGCAAAAGCCAGCAGGAAAGGAGACATTAGCGCACGTACGATAGCCGAAGTACTGTAAAGACACTGATATCATGATATTCCTTTAAATATTTTCTTGTGAACTCAGCTCTAGCTTGGTCACCGTCATCAGCCTCGATGAGAGCTGTGACAACATCGTTGAAATACCCATCATCCCATACATTGTTCTGACCTCCAGCATAATGAGTGGAATGCTCTTTTGCGAGGCGCATACATAATGAAACTGCGGCGGCCTATAATAACTTTAGAAATGCTTTCGAAAGTGTGAGCAATGAGTAACATACCTGGCTTGAAGGCCCCGAGTGCCGCAAAATGGTTATCAATGCCTTTTGATACTCCTGATATCTTTCTCTCAGCCAAGCAACCAATATCGAGTGCTGTTCGCTGGCGCCCTTTTGCTTATTGAGATGCCCGCCGGCCAACAGCCGACAAAAAACCCTACAAATAGATATTGCCACTGCTAGATTTGGACGGTCAACATTGAGCATCGATAAGAGCGTCGCTATATTGTTGTAATATTTGCGTGATTCCGAAATCTGCTCTTCTAGTTGCTGGATTGTTTCCCTTTCCGCATCTTCAATATTGCCGGTTGCTCGGCGCTTGTTTGCAATGGAGGTTGAACCCTTGCCATGCTTCTTCCTTTTTTTCGGAATGTGGATCGCATTTATCGAATCAGACATAGCTGTGACAATGGTCGAATCTAGCCTTCACGCGCCCACAAAAGACTGTGTGGTATATATGTACATGCTCGCAACGAATAATTCGGTCCGGGACGACTTTGTCACTGAAAAAGCGATAATGCGCCTTTCCATTTGAGGTTAGCGTCCTCCTCGACATCCGAAGTTCAGAACCAAAACCATCAACTTACACCCGTCCAACGATCAGTCAAGTTTACCGAATTCCACGCATCACAATGGCGTCGCGATTGGCAAAGAGCGCTCTTGGTAAGTTAGAATGCTTTATTAGGGACAGCTGCATTACTCTCTTCTAGTCTGCTGATGCAATTGGGGTCTAGGCGCTTCCCGTCTCCGGCCTGTCCTTTCTACCCGAACACTTCCCGCCGTTTCGCCCGTCACCGCTCGATTCGCATCCAATGTTCCGGTGGAAGACCCAAAAACCAAAGCTCAATCTATCATCGATGCTTTGCCAGGAAGCTCCCTTGTGTCAAAGACCGCCATTTTATCCGGAGGCGCCGGTCTGGCCATAGCCGCGATTAGCAACGAACTTTACATCGTCAATGAGGAGACTATTGCCGCCTTCTGTCTTCTCAGCGTGTTCACGGCCGTATTCAAACTCGCCGGCCCTATGCACAAGCAATGGGCTGAGTCCCAGATTCAGAAGCAGAAGGACATCTTATCCGCTGCTCGTGCTGACCATACCAATGCTGTTACGCAGCGTATCGAGAATGTTAAACCATTGAGTGAGGTTGTTAACATCACGAAACAGCTCTTCGAAGTCTCAAAGGTACTGTCGCCCCAAAGTGGATGTCTAAAAGTAATTAGAGTCGTGTAGCTCATTAGGTTCTAGGAAACCGCACGACTGGAAGCTCAAGCCTATGAATTGGAACAACGCACTGCCCTCGCCGCAGAGGCCAAGAGGGTCCTTGACTCCTGGGTCCAATACGAGGGCCAGGTCAAGCAACGCGAGCAACGCGAGCTAGCCGAATCTGTTATCGCCAAGATCCGGAAGGAATTGGAAAACCCCAAGCTCCTTCAGCAAATTTTGCAGCAAAGTGTTGCCGATGTTGAGAGTAAGTGATTTCCAAACTTATTTTAGAGATATTCTTTAACAACAGGATGTGACAGGGATCGTGTCATCCAAGGCTCAATAGGTTTTCTAGGTTATGTGATTCAAAGCACCAAGGCTTTCATTTTGTGTACAAAACTTCAGAACTAGAAAACCATTCTAGATTTATATGAATCTTTGTTTTGACAATAAGGGCATTGAACATGGTTTTCTTTCTTCTTTTCTGCTGTTGCTATCTCATGATAACTAACGAGAATTCCAAACACAAGCCACCAACACTGTTTCCAGAATTGAAGTCAAACTAATATTCCTATGCTTGCAAGTGTTTCTTTATCATCCTTGTGCTTGATACACATTCAAGTTTTTCTGTCAGTTTATAATTCAATGTCGCTCCAATTTGTTTCGAGCCGCTGGGCGATTAACTTTATCAACTGGGTCTGACTCTACTCTCTGGGTGGACAGTCCTCGAAACGTGCGTACTTGCTCAATTGGGAGCTGTATTTGGTGCAGAAGCATTCTACTCACCAGTGTCGCAGTGTAGGATGCCTCAATGTGTCTAGCACAGTGGAAAAAGTGGGAAATCGACCCCGAAAGATCAGTTTTATTTATAGACCGGCCAACTTAAGAAGTTGAAACCACGGTGTACAAAGCAGTTGACTGGACTCGAGCCCTAGTTAAATTCCACAACGATCGTCGTACGGGCCCGGCGCCCACAAGTCCTTGTATAGAGGTGATTGTGTGACACTCGAGGACCCGTTGATGGAATTGAATAGAGTACGGAGTACACATTTACCTCGAAAGGTGTGGGAACGAGCAACTTCAAATGCTGATATTGAAAGAGACACCTCCATGGTTACAGAGTGAGTAGGCAGCAGTCAGAGGAGGATGTGATACTGCAAATACAGTGACTGATATTTAGCTTGTGATATAGCGAGTGTAAGGGTCAAGGCAAATAAATAACCGAAGATGATTTTCGGAACTTTCTGACAGCGTCGACCGAATATTCACAGGGTGCCAAAATAGTTGCTTATTAGCTTTGCATGAAGGTGGGGTTCATAGCGCCTATCCTCCGCATATCAGACAAATTAACTCCATTAGGTACGGAGTACATCGTTAACAACGTCTCGCTGCGCCATGCCGCCATGGCCGCTGCAGCGTAAGTGCTTATGGGCTGTGGCTGGCAAGGATAGCGATACCACAAGCTGAACGCGGTGTTGTTCCTCTTTTAAATAACTGATGACGACGCCAGTTGGATCCTTTTTGTATTTTCCTGTCTTCTCTTTTGCCCCATTCGCGTCATATGTTTAGACACTCTTTACTCTGTACTGCACATGAATATAAATCTCAGGACCTTCGACGTATTATTTAGAGACTAGAGAAACCCATTTGTCGCAATTTCGTCTTTGAGGAGAAACTCGACCCGTTAGGCGCCAACAGCTAAATATGTCTTTGAAAGGTCTTCTACGAAAGAAAAATAAAAGTGACAACCGCCCGCAGGCATCCTCTACTGGTCTGGCGCCACCGGAATTCAAATTCATTAGATCGGATACATATACGCAGGAAGACATCGAGCCACCTAGTTTTGGCGACTCGCCACTGACAAGTCACTCGGAAGCCAGATATGCCGGTTCCTTACACTGTTCGTCCAGTGCCTCCAACAATGGATCTCTTTGCCATGAGCAGTCGCCGCAAAGGGAGAAGGATACGAGGCGTATCTCTCATCGTCTGCGTTTGGGTCGAAGGTCCAGATCTGGCAGCGCTTCTTCCGTGAATATTCCCACCGACCTACCGTCGGTCGCAAATGATAGTGATGCACAGGAGCGAGAGGCTCAATGGGAAAAGCGAGCGACACTGTTGGCGCAGGGGCCCATTAGCGTGAGGCCGTCATCACCTGTGTCTCCTCATCAGCGACCGCGAAGTCCCAGCACTGGAAGATTGAGTGGTCAAGAGGATGATGTAAGTAGCTACGTTCCGGCAGGCAGATGTCAAGTCCCATGTTTTACTCATTGCTGGATACTTGCAGGTGGATATCCAAGAGGCTATTCGACTACACGAGGCAGGGGGTAGGATGCACCACAGCTGCGTTGTCTTGGGATGACTAGCAATTAATATCGAAGCCCATTACTGACGTCCCTGGATTGGCAGAGCTGACCAGGTCAACCGAGATGTTCAAGTGCCTTGCCGACCCAAACGGCCAAAATAATGCGCTGAGCCAAGTCCTTTACGGCCTGGCGCTCAGGTCAGATTCTCCAACATACTAAAGATGGCTATAAATCGCTGAATGATTTCCTTTAGGCACGGATGGGGATGTGAGCGTAATCCTGAATCGGCTGTCACATATCTCTCGGCGGCGGCAGCAAATTGCGCCTCCATTGAAGCGGAAGCGTTAAACGCCGGAATAAAAAAAGGCGGATCAGCAAAAGGCGAGCTAGTTCTAGCCATTTTTGAGCTAGCCAACTGTTTGCGTCATGGCTGGGGCATAGCAAAGGATCCAGTGGCTGCCAGGCAGTATTATGAAACTGCGGCCAATTTAGGCGACACTGATGCGATGAACGAAGTTGCATGGTGCTATCTTGAAGGATTCGGGGGGAAAAAGGATAAAGTAAGTCTAGGGATACACCTCGGAGAGAGGTGCGCTGACTCCTCGAATAGTACGTAGCTGCAAAGTACTATCGTCTGGCAGAAGATAATGGAAGTAAAACTCTTGGTAACACATGGTAAGTGTATTAATGCCGCAAAATTTCCTGCAACTAACAAAAATGTTACCCATATCAGGATATGGAAAGAAAAATACAATTCCAAATGAATAGACCCGTTTCGGTCATGGTATATCGCCATTTATTTTGTCTTGAGTTTCGGGCGTATATGCCTCGGGGTTGCTTCACTTGGAATTTGATTTCAATAAGCAATAATGACATGGCATCTGTACACATTGAAGATTATTTCATTTTTGTTGGGCGTATTCATGTAGGCCTGCAATATTGGGAGACTTAAGGGGTGGTACAATATCTTTATGCATAATCATTTCTATATAGTCTGCATGACATTCTTTTGAAAGCATACCCGAACAAAGTATTCGAGAAGAGTAAAAAGCTAGTGAAACTGGGGTGGCAAGCTTATCAAAATAGGCAAAACAAGCCCAGCCTATCTAGGGACGTGGGATGATTAACTAATAGACTGTATTCCTCCAGGACATTGGCGATCCTCCCAGAAGATTCACTACTTTTATGGATATTGTTGTCCAATTGTCAGTTGTGAGGAGGAATCAAGGGCGACAACCAATCCTTTCTAACCTGCAATTTATTTTTTCTTTGCAGGTTCCACGAAATTTGATGTGAAAAAGTGTTCAGAATGGGTAGGAGACAACCATCAAAGTATCATCCATCCTAGGGAGTCTCCTTCCTCCTGAGCATTGCCAGCGAGAGATAGTACAAAGGTGCAGGCTCAATCTGACCTGAAGTTATTAAAAACAGACGCCAATCGTTTGTAGTCATCAAGAAGCTTTGGGATTTCTCCAAGTGTGAGCTGCGCAGCATCTTCGAGCTCCATGAATCTCTTTATTGGAGGAGCCACGTCGGCAATCGAAACCTTTTCTTTTCCAAATCCAGGTTGTCGCTCCGATAATCGGGAGCTTTCTTCCGGAACGCCTATAACTTGACTGGATTCCGTTGAACTCCTGCTTAAACCACGGATCATTCCAGGGATATGGTTCAAAGGATTAAGGGTATTACCAAAACTTCTCATCGAGCCAAAGGCAGGGCTAGATGTTTGAGCGTTTGACGAGGCGAGACTGGGCGTTGAAGGCTTGCTCGAACTAGGGTTGGAAGCATCCGAGTCCGCTTCTATTGGTCGAACAGTGCGGTCGCTAGGTGGCTTCCGCCCGGCAATAAGGCTAGCTAACCTATCATCGAGTCGAGGTCTTGGAGAAGCTGATTCTCTGGCACTGTTATCACATTTGGCAGGGCCGTCTGCATAGGGGAAGTCACCCGATACCCCGACTGGATTATTGACTAATCGACGGGCGTCATCAAGGGTTTTCGGCACTAGGCCAACATCTTTTGTTCCTTCTCCTTGTTTAACCTGTACTTCCTTCAGTCGGCCAAACAGAAATTTGAAACTGTTGTCAAGTGTGTTGCTAATATTTTTGATACCTAGATCAGCGGTATTGCGTACTATATCATTTGCCGCCCCTAAGGCTTTTGCCGGAGGCTGGAAAATACTGCTTAGACGGTGATGTGGAGCCACTGCTAGTTGTGACTTCGATAGGGTGTCTGTTTTCAGATACGAAGAGACATCACGCTCCGTGTCAGGGACTGTACGTATTGTAGTCGACGGAAGTGGTACAAGATCGCCGGTTTCAGGAGGCAGGTCGCAAGTAGTCGAGACCAGAGTACCATTCCGTATTTCATCCGTGCTAGTCAGATCAACGTTCTCCAAGAAGCTAATGGCCGCCTCCAGATTTGTGAGACAATATGCAGTTTCCCCATCAATTCTGTTGGCAGCGCGGAACCGTTGAATAAATAAGAGGTTGCTGATAACGTTCATTCCTTCCGGTGGCGACGTGACGAGGGCGAAAATGAGTGTGGGAAGAATTTCATCGGCTGAGGAGGACGAAGGCAAAACTCTCGTTAAACTGTCGACAATGGCCTTGTGAGCCGTAGTGAGATGCTGCAGCTTCCCTAAGGGAAATTTTGCATCGTTCATCTGGATTAGACTATGACGCGCAGCTGCAAGCCAGTCATCGGACTGTGTGGTTTCCTCGTTCTTATCGTCGATATCGACCCCAAGATCTTTCAAACCAAACCCTATGACGGCCAAGGCGGCAGTTTTGGAGCGTAACTTCTCATCCCTTACCTCGTCTAGCGTACTTCTATGACGCCAGATTTTGTCATAGACGGATTCACACGCACGTTTTTCTATGGCTTCTTCTAACGCTTGGCGCTTGTATTGGAATAATTTTCGCGTTCGTCGCCTTTCAGTGACCTCTGTCGCCGTAAGCATTTGCTGTTCCCCAAATATTTTACCGGAACTACTTCTATCTCCTTTTTGGGAAGAAGCAATTTTCGACGTAAACGAATATTTGGAGTTGCTTTGGGAACGGCTGGGAGACGGAGAATCACCACGGCGAAGACGAGACGCTAAAATTGAAATATGAGTCTCAACATGCGAGGAAGCACGAATATAGAAGTCCTGAAATAAACTGGAAAGTTTGTCTATTGAAGGTGGAGTGTCGTAGACCTTAGCGCTCAAGGATTCAACAAATCTGCAAGCCAGGATCAGCCGATTGTGATTCCAGTTCTCCAGGCTCAGGAAACTAACCTATCAGTCAGGCTGATCATTTCAATAGGAAGATCATCAAAGCGTTCCAAACAGCTTTTGTCTTGTATTTGTAGAAGTTCATCCTGTTCCTTATTTCCATTGGCCGACTTGATTGAATCCTGCTTCTCAAAGACATCGGGTTTTCCATCAGCGGGAAGCGGATTGAAAGGTGCAGCCACAGGATCCATTGATTCAAGCCCCACGACTTGGTCAACAGTCGGTAGGGCAATTCTCGAGAACGGATTGGTCATGGAGGGCATACTTTGGGTGCATGAACATTGACCGTTGGATTGCGATAAGGGAGCATCAACCCGAGCTGGTGACATAATCCCAAGCGATTGTCGAGATTTTAGCACGAAAAGGTGTTTCAGACTATCTTGAGACACTCCGTGGTAACTCGGGATGGTACCTTTCTCCAGGACTTATCGAAGCTAAGGAAAGACAGAAGTACGTTGTCGTACCACCGGCCATCACATAGCAACAACAAAAGAATTAGGTTGGAACTCCCAAGGCGAAAGATACCTCAAAACCCGACCCTCCTGGTGCATCGATTTAACGAGGAGAAAGACTTAAAAGATATCCTTGGTACGGGAGAGAGGACTCGGTCGTCGGTGAAAGGCACGCGTCTTGTTGAAGCTTCAGGATGCACGCGAACGAGGGAGCTCAGTTGGCAAATTGGGTAAATCAGGGAGTTGGCAAGTTGCATCATGTTCTCTATCGGACTCCGGGCTCCTGGCACGAGGTTCGACCCGTGTGCGAACAGAGGAGCTGATCATCGGAGTATGGCAGCCGGTTTGGCTTTGGCAGGCGACCCAATGCCTGGTGGATGACTAATATAAGGTAGTTCACCACTAAACGAGCCAAATTTCGCCAAATGCTCCACGCAACGAATTTATTAAATATCTCAACAACCAGATCTTTATTATTAAATAGCTATTAAATATTAAATGAATGTGTTCTTTGAAGCATAGAAATTAGTGTAGTTAGAAAAATAAATAGGTGGATGACCTAATATTGTGGCCAGAGTGAGAGATTTGAGGGGTAGATAGAAAAGAATTCAAAGGAATGTCAACAGTAGATTTCTTGGCTAGAGAGCCTAATATCTTGCTAGAGAGACTTATAGAGCTCTTACTTTCTTTTTTGAAAGATTGTATAGACTCTCTGTAATAAGACTCTTTAGTAGAGAAGTTCTTCTGATAGTGCTTTGAAGCCAGTGCTTAAAGCTCTGACTATTAATATTTAATAATATGTTCAACTGTCTGCTTTTTCTTCTCTGCTAGTTGTAAAGTCTTCTTTTTCTTACAAGTAATATATTATGTCTTTCTTTATCTAGTATATTTGATTTTTTTAATCTCTTATTACTTGTAGATCTTTTTACAGACATTCTTCTGTTTAATTTATCTTTCTTTAATATCTCTAGTAGTCTGCTTCTTTTGAAGCTTCTGTTGAAGCTTTATCTCTTATATTTAAATAATTTTATCAGCTTTTTCAGTCTCTATTTCATCCAGATACTCACATGTCTTAAAAACTTTTATTAGAGATCAGAACTGCACTTGACTAGGATTATTTCTATTAAGTAAATCTAGAGACTTGTCTTGCTTGCAGTATTGCTTTTCTGTCACTAGAGTTAGTTTTAGACACTGATTCTGTTAGGTGAACCAGTTATAGATCATGTAGGTTTTCCCAAGATTAGGGGTATGAAAGAGCTAAGTAGATACAATGCCTGCAACTGATGAGAGAGAGTCATGCATAAAATGTAGAGGTTCTCTTACTCAGAGACTGAATGCTAGGGTTTCTATAATTCATATAAATTGTGTGATTCTTATATATTCAGTATTGAGATCACATGAATACCTCTGAACATCTGATGTTGTCTGATGCTTGATTGATCTAGATCTATATTTGTAACACTATCCCTCTTCCAGAGATCTTGAACTCTGAGATATAAGACCACTGAAGTGGTTTTTTGTATATTATTGTAGCTTCTCTATTATTAATAGAGTTGTAGATTCTTGAATGTGTAAGCTTCTGTATTACTCACTGCTTGTCTATATAGATATCCCACATGCATATCACTGCTGGTTGCAGTAGACATTCTTTGTTATAGAACAGTAATTATTTTATTATAAAAGTCCAGTATTTTGTTATGTACTTGTTTCTTTGTTTGTTTGCTTGTCTGATTGCTATATTATTTATTATCTGTTGTCATATTATTTATTAACAAGTTGTGGGACTAGTAATCTTGATATATTATAATAAATATAAATAAAGAGTTTCTGGCCCTCTTCTTTCTTCTTTTCTTCTGTTTTGTTTTGACTCAGATGTTGTTTCTTGTTTATTTTATAACTTGTTATAATATTGTTGTTGAAAGACTCTATTATATATAATAAAGAAGATAATCTTCTGTGCTCTGTCTGTATTTACTTGATATTTATAAACTGCCTGAATGAAGATAAGTCTTGTCTATAGAATATCAAAAAGAAATCTTGTTCTTATTATTTAGAATGTCAAATTTGTATCTGTTGTGATGTAAGTATGTCTTTATTTATTCTTCTTGTTGTTCTGATATAACTGTAGATTCCAGAATCTGCTGTTGAACTAGTTTATTGGCTCTTGCAACTTCAAGAAGAATACTATAGTTTTAATGCAGCTAATTTGTATTATTTATATAATATTAAGTGCATGAGTATACTTGTGTGTGAATTTTATAAGCTTGACTCAGAAGCTACTAAATATTACTGCTGCCAGACTACTTCTACTGTTGAAGAATCTTTCATAAAATATTATTGTTCTATCTTATATCATATAGTCAAGACTGTGGACCTTGTGTCTGAGATGAAATCTATCAAAAATAGTCTGTCTGAGTTCTCTTGTTTATCAAGCTCAGTTTGTATTGTTCTCTCTTAAATAGAAAATAAAGTTACAAACATCTGAGTCTTGCTTGATTATCTTATAACTTGTTTGATAAGTGGAATCAAAGCTCTTCAAGACAGTATAGAAATTAGTCTTGTAGATCTTCTGTATTATCTTACTTGTTCTCAAACTAACTTCTGCTTAGACCAATCTCATATCTTTTATTAATTATCTAATTAATATTGTTTCTTCTAGTTTTTGAAGTATTGTAGAAATGCTTTATTCTCTTTATACTTTTTTATCTATAATATTTTTCTTTATAACTGTATCTTTTGTTGTGGTTCTGTCTGTTATTGTATCAAATATATCTGTAACTCTCAAGTCTTGCTTGTTTATAACTGATTCATCACTGTTATAGTTATGTCTCAGACATTCTTATAGTACATCTTCTTATTATTAAATTCTTGATTTTATAGATGTGTTGTGATCTTTATATTTATTTTATGTTATATTTATCTTTCTTTCTGTATATAGATTTATTTGTCTTCTTGTAATTTTGTCTTTTCTTTAGGTAATTCTTAAGAGTTTCTTGTGCATTTTTGAGATTTTTCTCAGATTCCCATGTTGATTTCTTAATAGAGAATTCTTTCCACTTCACTAGATAATATCTCTTGCAGTAGCATGCTTTGTTGTTCAAGATTTTATCTACTTTTCACTTATGATGATTATCTACCAGTATCATAAAAGAACATATTGGTATCTTATTTGTTCTTGTGCAGTACAGTTCTAACAATAAGATATAGAAAATATTGTGAATCTGATAGCTTAGAGAGAGCTTTAGTTGATATGTATTATTTTCTATGGCCTCTATTACTAAGAAAGATCTATAGTACTTGTCATCTAACTTCTTGCAAGAATGTATTGTTTGTAGGTTTCTTGATAACAATATCACTTTATCACCAGATGCATATACTTTATCTTGATGTCTTTGATTATAGAATTATACTTGATTCTCTTTTGCTTTTGTTAAATATTCTATTAAACTATCTCTTAATACAGAGATTATTCTCAGTCTTCTGTTGAATACTATCTGTGTATTGTTGTTGTTGTCAACTGACTTCTGAATCTTGTCTGGTTCTCTAGATTCAAAGTCATATATTACTTTAAATAAGGATATGTGTGTTGTGAAGTGTTCTAATCTGTTGTATGTAAATTTTGTATACACAAGTCACTTCTTTCAGTTATCTTGTCTATAGCTATAATAGACATGAAGATATTTCTTCAAAATCTTATTCAGTATCTCTGTTTAACTGTTTGTTTGTGAATGAAATACTGTGCTAAGTTTTTGTCTAACTTTCATGTGAAAATATAACTCTGACCAGTATTCACTTGTGAAAACAGATTCCCAGTTCAAAATAATATTATTTGGAAATCTGAAGTCTTTAAATATTCTTCTGAACAGAAGATTTACTATTTCTGATATATTAATCTTCTTTCTACATGCAAGAAAATGTGCAAGCTTTATAAATCAATTCACAACAATCAGAACTGTATTGTATGGGTTTCTCTCTTCTTTACTTGGAGAGAGATCTGTTATAAAGTTTATAGATATTGAACACCAGAGATTACTGAGTGTTGGTAATAATACAAGCAATTCATATGGTTTGTGCATTAAAGTCTTCTCTTGTTAGCAGGTTTAGCATTCACATATATACATCTGGACATCTTGTCTTATTGATTATCAATTATATTTTTATCAGAGCAAGATAAATATTTTTACTACATTAAAGTGATCTGCAAATGAGTTATTGTGATGGACTTGTAGTAGTTTCTATTTTAGAGCTAGATTATTAGAGATGTAGATCCTGCCACTCTTTATTAAAAGATCTTATTTGTTTATTTTTCACTCTAACTGCTGAGATCCTGCCTCAGTAAATCTTACTTGTACAGAGAGATTGTCTTTCTATACTTCTAGCAGCAGGTTCAACACACTCACAGTTGATTTATTATAAATCTTTTTATTTTTCATCACTATATTCACACATATACAGAGAATTCAGAATCTCTTGCAATTTCTTTGTTGAGTCTCTTCAGTATCTTTGACTGGTGCTTTCTGAACTAACTTAATTATCTTGATGCTATCAGATCTTCTCTGCATCATCTCTATCTTACTGCTTTGAACAGCACAAGCAGCATGTACTTAGATATCTTCTTCATTAAAGAAAGTTTCTTCAAATGAATCCCACTCTGGAACATCATCTATATAATATTATTTAAGTGTATATGTCAGCAGACCAATGTCTTCTTCTAGTTTAATATAATCTGATCTTTATGATAATGTGTCAGCTGAATTATACTTTCCAGAGCAGTAAAGAATCTTAAAGTCATATACTCTGAAAATCTCTATCCATCTTATATATTGTTGTTGTGCCATCTTGTTTGTGAACTTCATAAATAAATGAAGATTTGCATGATCTGTGATAATCTCTACAGAGTATTTTATTTCTTCTAAGTACTGCTGCCAATGAACAAACACTTGAATAATGGTCAATATCTTTTTATCTGGTGTGCTATAGACTTATTAAGTCTGGTCAAACTTGAATAACTAGTAGATAACTGGATGCTACTTATTTTTGAACAGCTGTAGTAATATTATATCTGCAGCATGTTTCAAAGCATTCATCTTCAAATATATTCTATATTCTGAATTATAATACTGAATAACAGACTCTCTGAAGAAGACTGTCTGCAACTCACAAAATACTTTTCTAATAGTAGATATCAGAAGAAAAAATTCTTTCTTTCTTTTCTTTTTACTGCTCTTTAAGAGATCTGTCAACAGTATTATGATAATCAAGTACTTTTGTATAAATCTTTAATAGAAGTTCACAAAACCCAGAAATATCTGAATATTATGAAAACTTTGTGACAAGAGCCACTCTGTGATTATCTGTACCTGCTTTGAATCTATCTTAATATCTTTATTATTAATAATATATCTGAGATATGAGATTGTTTGTCTTTTGAAAGTATACTTAGCAAGCTTTGTAAACAACTGGTATTCTCTTAGATACTTTATAACTAGTCTAATATGTTTCTTGTGCTCTCCCTCTGAGGCTGAGAAAATAAGAATATCATCTAGATAAACTATATAGCATATGTCAACCAGGCCTGCCAGCACTCTATTAATATAGAACTGAAAGATTACTGATGCATTTAATAATCTGAAAGATATGACAAGATACTTAAAACTTTCAAACTTTGTATAAAATATGATCTTTCATTTATCTTCTTCTTTAATTCTAATCTAATGGTAGGCATCATGTAGATCTATCTTAGAAAAGTAGCATGCTCCTATTAACTGGCTTAATATCTTGTCTATCAACAGCAAGAGATAACAGTCCTTCACTGTAATTATGTTAAGATCATGATAATTAATACAGAGTCTGAGTTCTTTATTAGCTTTGAGTGTAAATAACACTGGAGCCTCTGCTAGACTTTATAATAGATATATTTAATTCTTGCATAACTTGTTCTTGATGTATTCTTGTAGAATCTCTGTCTGCTTGAGTAATAGTTTATAGATTAGTATGTATGGGGGCTTGCAGCTGTTTTTAAGAATAATCAGATAACTAATCTTTATTAATTTCAGTAACTCTGCTGCTTTTTCTTCTGAGAAAATATTTTTGTAGTTTTTTAATTACTCAGACACTTCTGTCAGAACTTGGTTGTTATCTGACACAAAAATAATATAAAAGAGTTTATTCTTGATGCACACTGCTTGAAGAAATCTATCTGTATTCAGAAGTTCTACTATTTTCTCTGAGAGTTAATAATATCATGTCTTGTTCTTCCAGTCTATATCCAGATTGAAATCTTCTAATTACAGCATGTCTAGAACTATATTCATGTTGACTATATTGATTATCACAAACATATGTTTTATTATTTTTATAATCTTTATGAAGTCTGTCATAGTGAGTTGAGTCTTGTAGATGCTATACTAATTAGTCTCAGCTCTATTCAACATCTCAATAACTTTTATAGATGTCTCTGATTAATTCCAGTCTAATTAAAATGTCAGTTTGTAGAAGATACTGTCTACTGTAGTATCTAAGTTTAACAGTACAGCTTGCTCTGTAAGATTATCTGACAGTATAGTTAGTATGGCTGACAGATACATACTGTGTCTGCTTGTCTTCTCTATTAAGTTAACACCCCATCTTTCTAATATTTGATCTGGGTTTTGCATAGGCTTTGCAGCTCTAGTCTTCACTCAATTCTTATTCTTTTTGTCTGTCTGCTGGAACTTGTTAAAGCTGTTTGTACAGAACTTTGCTCTATAGTCTGATTGATTACATCTTAGACAGAGCTCTTTATCTATTTATTATTTGTGTTTCTCTTCTAATATTTTTGAAAGTGGTTTCACCAGTGTCTTCTTTATTTATGGATAATCTTCTTTATTATCTTATTGGGATGTATCTTTCTCTTGAGAAATTGAGATTTTCTGTTTCTTCTTATTTTAATTCTTGTTCTACTGACTTTGCTTCTTCTTTTCTAGAATAGACTTAATAAGTATTATTTGTTCTTATAATTTCACAACTGTTTTTAATTAGTGTTGCAGTTTATCTAGTTCAGTTCAAATAATTAATCTGAGCTTTATCTGTAGAAAGAGTACACAAAAGAATTCATCTGATAAACTATTCAGATTCTGTTTGAGTTTGGCAATGTACATGAAAAACAAGAGTATGGGTTGGTTCTTTTATTGAACAGTATCATGATAATGCTGTATCATGTCTTAACTATAAGTTATCTCAGATTCAACATCATTCTTACACCATATCTTGAATTTGTTCTATAATATAAATAGTTATTCTCTCTCTATTTTCAATATCTGTCAATGCATCTGAAGTTTGTTATAAAAATAACTGAATATCTAATTAATTCTGACCACATCTGATATCTTTTATAATAATTTTCTCAGACAAAACTGCTGTCTTATTAAAGCTAACCATAATTTGCACTTATCAAGTGATTTGCTATGGTAGTAAGATACTTTTAGTAGCTTTATATTATTGAAATTGTCTGACTTCTCTATCAGTCTTGTACATAAGAGAAACTCTAAAAAAATATTATTATTTGCTATTCTCTGTTTATATTCTATCTGCTTCTGCAATCTGTATATCTTGTTTTGTTCATGTATATCTGCTAGATTTTTTTGCAGATATGTCTTCTTTTCTTTAAAGATCTTCTCTCTTCAGATTTTATTTAATATATTAAGAGATGTATCTCTGTTGTCTGTATTGTCTGCTGGTGTCTTACTGGTGATAGCTCCACTGCTACCAGCATCTTTATTAATATTTATCTTCTTCATGTTGGTGTCTATCTCTGTCAGATTCACAACATGGGATGTTGTTGTGATTTATCTTGTAGATCTTGATAGCATTATACTGACTTAGACAATTGTATGTTGAAGCATTCAGAATATTAGATAAACTGATTGTAGATCATGTAGGTTTTTCCAGAATTAAAGATATGAAAGAGCTAAGTAAATATAATGCCTGCAACTAATAGAAGAGAGTCATGCATAAAATATAAAGGTTCTCTCACTCAGAGACTGAACACTGAGGTTTCCACAATCCATGCAAATCATGTAATTCTTATACATTCAGCATTGGAGTCATATGAATACCTCTGAACATCCAACATCATTCAATGCTTGGTTGGTCTAGGTCTATGTTTGTAACAGATTCTTATATTCCAGCTAATCATTACAAAGAATAAATTATTTAGAACTTGAATAATCTGTTCAATACTCTGTAAATTTAGGCTGTGCCAGAGATATTCTAACCATTTGTTGAAGCTGTAAAGTAGGCTTATTTACTTTTGTTATAATTATCTAGCCATGTATTCTGAAGATCTCACAATTCACTCTGATAAATAAGAGCTAAAGATAGTGTAATTTCTTTAGCAGAGACTGAGCAGAGCAATAAGAGAAATTCTCAACTACTATTCTGAATAGTAGTATTCTTTCCAGCTTGTAGAGCTTTAATAGAGACTAATTACTTTGAGATATAGCAGATGTTTAAAAGAAATTCTTTTTCATTAAAATTATAGATGTTTGAGAGCTCAAGATTATATTAATTAATTTTCTGCTCCAACTACTCTGTAAGAGTAGTCAAATAGTTAGCTAGCATCAACAACCACAATTGCAATTAATTAAATAAATTATTAAATTACAAGCATATAGAAGTACTTAAAGTACTGATAGTTATCTGCTATCTGTCTATTTTAATTAATTACTTTGAGATAAATGTATTTAATCTTATTATTATATTGCTTACAAAATTAATTAATTTAATTGATTTTAATATTCTCTTCTGTTATCTCTTGTACAATATTTTATAGAATCTGAGATGTAATGACAAGACTGTAGCTAGAGAGCTTATTTATATAATTCAGAAGCTCTGTCTTCTGTATATTAGAGAGCTTTTTCTTATATTAAAAGGCCACTTTATTCTGAGCAAGTTGCAAGTCTTTATACTGTCAGCACAGGATCTCTTGATTAACTGAGTAATTTCTTGTAGTTACAGTATAATTTGGCTTCTTCTGCAATTCAAGATCTTCAATCACAAGCTTAATCACTTCATTGTTAACCATGTTGTTGCATATTGAATGTTGAACATTGGAGCAATTTGATGGTGGAAGATTTGGCTCATTTAGTGGTGTGGCTCGTTTAGTGGTGTGGCTCGTTTAGTGGTGAACTACCTTAATACTAACATAGTGGTTAGTTAGCAGAATACTCTGTACTCCGTATGTTTTTTAAATATCTTGAGAATTTATATAATGTTGCTAAGAAAATTTCTGACAATTTCTTTTAACTTTTAAAGCAGGAATTGTAAGTTCCAAGGTTTCTTTTATTTTTATTGCAAACTCGTGGCATCTTTACATGTCAAAGTGCGTAGATTGGTAAATTAGATATACAACACTTGGATTTGGTGAGCTGGGAAGTATAAACGATTACCTAAGCTATAACGCCTTTGCTGGTTACATGCAGAGCGGGTAACGGAGGACAGAGTTCGGGGACGACTCCGGAGTAATTCCTCCGTACCTCAAAGTTCTGTTGGGGTTGTTAACGCCCAGGCAAGCATGTCGTCACTCCATCTTGGCAGGATATCTCCCTTCAAATGCACCACCTAACGGTCCTTTCTCATAACAAAGTCTATGCATGGATGATATATGATGACACCGTCTCAATGGAAAGACGATATCTGCACCTCTCAGCTCGCCATGGTGGCCTATGCGATCTTTCTTCTTCTGCCTATCTTCTCACCGGTTGTTTTTGCAACCGGCTTAGAAAGTCATCGAAATCTTCAAGTCCATTTTGTTCAGCCGGAGGATCGAGGATTCCTTCCGCAGCGATCACCGCAAGGTCATGAGTTTGTGCGTGATTTTCTGCGCCCTTTTTTTTTGCCGGTTCTTTTTTGGTTTTTTCTAACCCGAACCTATTATCAGGCGTTACGCCACATCTTTCATCACGGCACGTATCAATACCCACTTCTACATAAACGGCTCGATGTTAACCCCGAAACGAAAATATGGGTGGCTTCTGAAGATGGCGCGAAACTGGAGTTTTCTCCCCATTTCCGGGTGTCGTCACAGCCCTCCCGGATCCAGCGGCTTACCGATCGACGTGTTCAGGTGATGGAAGCCCGACTCTCAGCTGCAAGGACGCCAGAAGTATTCAGCACTTTATCCCCGCCAGTATGGACGATAGATGAATTGCCTGGACCTAATATATCCGATAAAACGACGGTCCTTAACCTCGCCAAGATGACCGCAAATGCATATATTATGGAACCGGGAGCAGAGAGATGGGAGGACGTTTCCGGTCCATTTAACCAGTCATTAAGCTTCGGATGGGAAAAGGACGGCCTCCGTGGCCATATATATGCCGATCAGACAAATTCAACAATTATCATCGCATTGAAAGGAACTTCCGCCGCGTTGTTTGACGGTGATGAAACTACCACAAATGACAAAATCAATGATAATTTGTTTTTCAGCTGCTGCTGTGGTCAGGGAGGTCAATATTTCTGGAGACAGGTTTGCGACTGCTATTCTTCCGCCTATACTTGCAATTCAACATGCTTGGTCTCGGCTCTTGTGACTGAAAACCGGTACTATCGGGCCTCCCTTGATCTCTATGCTAACGTGACGGATATATACCCGAATTCGACTGTATGGCTTGCTGGTCATTCTCTTGGGGGTGCGGTATCGAGTCTCCTCGGGCTGACTTACGGTTTACCCGTTGTAACCTTTGAAGGAGTCCCCGAAGCCTTACCTGCTTCACGACTGGGCCTACCGGTGCCTCCAGGAACCGACCCCAATACTCCACAGGCGCGTGAATATACTGGCGCCTATCATTTTGGCCATACAGCTGACCCGGTATATATGGGCACGTGTAACGGAGCCACTTCCTTCTGTACCTTGGCGGGTTATGCCATGGAATCAGCTTGTCATACCGGGCAAAGATGTGTTTACGACACTGTTGGAGACCTGGGTTGGCGTGTGGGTATCGGGACGCACAGGATTCTCAACGTGATCAGCGACGTCATCGAAAGATATGAAGATGTCCCGACTTGCGTAGCGGACACGGAATGTCGTGACTGTGCTCTATGGAAATTTTTTGAGAGTAATGGCTCACATCCAATTCCACCAAGCAGCTCAACAACGTCCCCCACGCGAACGCGGACGTCGACTTGTGAAACGCCGGGATGGTGGGGTTGTCTGGATAAAACGACCACAACTGGAACAACTACGAATGTAATCACTACCTCAACAAGCACATGCAAGACCCCAGGATGGTTTGGTTGTAAAGATCCCACAACTACCTCTTCCGTCCCATCCGCCACCCCTTCTCCAACTCCAATTATCACCTCAATTTCCATGCCTACTCCAACCAGTACTACATGCGAAACTCCGGGGTGGTTTGGCGGCTGCAACGATCCCCCTACCACTGCGACGAGTAAACCTAACTCGTCTTCCCCTTCAACTAGCACCACCTGCACCCATCCGGGTTTCTTTTGGGGCTGTTGGGATCCCACCAGCTCGTCGGAGACGCCCACAGCAGCATTCTTCTCCACCGCAAGCCATACAAGCTGCGCTTCTAAAACCTGGTTTGGTCGAAGTTGCACAACCCCAGCTCCCCGGTGACAGTTTCGCCACGTCAAAGTGAAAGCTCAAAGTAGACCGGATAGTCGGGGAGAGATGGACATCTCAAAGAATAGGGCTGATTAGACGACTCCTCATTAGCCTATGCGTGATGATGTTATGACTTTGCCGCCGTGGTGCCTTGAACCAATCTATTGCTGCTGTGTGTTTTGAATATACCTCTTTTTCCTCTGAGGCGTTTTGAGAGCGGTTATGCCCATCGGATTTTAAATATAGCGCGATGATATATTGCTTGTGAATGGCGCTATTTCGGGCAGATTGCTTTGGAAGAATATGGACTCTTATTGATTATTTGTTTAGATTTACAATTATATATGTTCAAGAAACTCCAATGCAAGAAAAAGGGAGTTGCCAACCATCTTCTCACCCTTGGGCTCCTGGAAGGATCCTCTACTTTTTTTCGTTGGGATCAATACAGAGACAATTTTACTTGACGCCATGGCTTTTGTCCTAAGCTTGGTAGATACTCAGCACACAACCCACACCGTTGTGCCGAGTATGTTCTCCCCAATGCGGCAAAGAAAAGATGAAAGTGACAAGATAGTTCAAGGGGCGGGCCTCTGAAATTACTTTTTGTCACCTGCCAACAACAGAATCCTGCCCCATTTTCCTCCTGCAGATTTCGAGTCCGTCTCGGTGATGGAATGGTTAATTCATTAAACTGGAGCACTTCTTGTGTGCAGGATACGAAGCGCCACGCCAACAGAGACTAAAGATCCGCGAATTCTCGTGGTGTTGTTGAGCATTATTGAAGCTTGGCCTCGATAAACTAAGTGCGTGACATTGCGGTTGTTAACTCCGTGCTGTAAGTACGGAGTAGACATGGTCGGCGTTTGTAGCACGGCTGCGGGGGGGTTCAAGACTTGATCTACAGTTAAGGGAGCTAACTACCTGTCACAATCGCTAGTGATGCCCCTAGCAGTCGGGAACTACGCTATGTGGAATCATCATTAGGATAGGGGAGAACTCTTGCATCCTTGGATTCGAAAAATTCTTCTTGAGTAACAGCAGCGTCAGAAAACACATTTAAAATAAGGCTTTCGTGGTCTTCTTTGAACCCTGCTCGTTGGAGCTGTGCAGCATAAATCCAGTTGTCTCGCCGAGTGGTTGGGTCATCGACTATTGAGATCAAGAATTTTAAAAGGAGCAGCTCCAAGACAGTGTCAAAATCTGGCTTGCTAAGTGATTTTTGGCTTCCTATGAATTAAATAGCTATGGAGATTGCCTTCATCACAATATCTGGCAAGTTCACTTCTCACAATGTGTCCTTTGCAACATGGATTTCCTTTTGTCCTTGGAACTGACAAGATGCAGATTCTTCTCAAGATGCTCGAATACGATATGTTTCCAATTCAATCGAGGATCTTCTTGGATATCAGCCCCATGAAGTCATCAACAGGTCTGGATGGGAATTTTTACATCCAGATGAAATTTCACTGGCAAAAGGGATTTATCAACGTGCAGTCCGTCAAGACAAAGCTGCAGCGTTGAACCATTTCCGTGTCAGACACAGAGCGGGCTTTTGGGTTTCTTGCGAGTGCGTATTTACCGTGGTATGCAACACTCTTTTCGCACGGACGACAGTTTGCCGAGAAGGATTAAAATGTAAAAGTAAGCACATGTGCAAACCGTAACTTGTCTATACCGGATATTAACAACCAGCCAAAATTCCTTTCGATTCGAAGAGCGTGTCGCTGCTAGTTATGTGGTGAGAAGGCTTCTCTCCTCTTCGCCATACGATCCCCATTATCGTATGGTCTGTTCTCTTTCCAGCAAATTCTCACGGTCATCAAATTCTTCGGTTCCTGAACCACGTGCAGCCTTGGTTCTAAATCGGTTTACCCGGTCCTCGACTATCGTTTTCGCGACTAGTAATGTAGCAGAGATCCTAGGTGTAACTCCAAACCAGCTTGTTTCACGGAGCTTTTATGCCTTCGTGGAAGAATGTTGTTTGACACAAGCGGCCCGATGTCTGGAGGAAAGCAAAATGCATGACACAATTGCATACCTGCGCGTTCGGTTACGAACTATGCCTGCGGAATACGATGATGAGCCTGAAGTTATTGAAAAGGTCGACGAACTCATTGGAAGAAATGGTTATGAAACCGAAGGTGGCTCTCCCGTATACTTGCCCGGCACGATCATTAGGGATAGTGATCGGAATCCTTGCAACTTCCGCCAACACGACCTCCATTGCAAAACATGCAGTACGACATCGGAAACAGCTCAGAGCGCTCGGGAATCCTCGTGGCCGGGAACGTCACGGCATGCGGAAATCGAAGCCGTAATTACTTGCGCATCGGATGGCATAATCGTTGCTCTAAGGCGTGCCCGACCACTCATCCCAGGGCTTATCCCACCGGAGAGCTAGTCAGTGTAAGCAAACGATGTATCCAATTTACACTCAGCGAGTCGGCCAGCCCTCGACTAACGTAGTGTCAAAAAGGCTTTAATGCGAGCCACCATAGAGTTTCATAGGGGAAAATTTCACTTTGAATGTGTGAGGCAGCAGGAGGCGTTAGCAGTTATAAAGGGCCCTCCGTCTCCCAATTCCATGGGTCGTCATGCGCTTTTATATTAGAAGACCAAGATCTTCAAGTTTTGGGGAATAGAGTAGTAACTGGGTGATGTTGACATGTCAAAAAATAGTTCATGGCCTAGCGTTTCTACTCCATAATGATATTCGCGGGTTCGATCTTCCAGCATTAATGGATGTAGAATGACCAGATAATGCTTAACTATATATGTACAATGCTTCGATAGGGATAGCAAGAGCATCATCCTGGGCCTTTTTCTTGCGGCTATGCGACAGCTCCATGCTAAATACTCTGTACCTCGTTGGTTTGGTAACTAGCTTTTTTCCCTTCAGCTGTGACGTAAGAAGTTACTGACTATTTAATTAACTACTCCGTAGTAAACGAGTTACTCGTGATCACGCCAAGCCTCTGGGCCTGAAGTTTATTTGTAAGCATATGCTCCGTACTCCGTAAACAAGGTTTTAAGACCTGGGTCCTAGGGCAAAGACTTTTCTGCTGGTCGGCGATGGAAAATACTTTCCCGCCAATGCAACTGTCCTCTGCTTTTGCCTCTCAGAAATCCCCTCGCCCGTTTGATTTGGATTTTTCTGCGCCTAACAGTGGCCACCGGTACTCCGTACAAACTCCTAAACTCGATGGCAAAACCGCGAAATGTTATCAATTCTCTGTGGAGCTGCCATCTCCAGCCATGAATTGCTTTGAAATCAAATCCCCACCCGCGCAGTGCAGCGCCGGGTTTCATTGTGGGCAGTCTCGCCTTCGGGGACAGAGATCGAGCGAAGTTCCGATAATATATAATAGTGAAATAGTAGAAAAGATATAAAGCCATAACACCATATCTGTAGAATCTCGGGAAGTGCCATTCTGTTGTTTCCTCTTGTTCTCGAGAAAGAAACTCGCGCACCCTCTCCTCTCCCCTTTTGCACCGGTCTTCCCCCCGAGAAGCAGTCCGATAAATCTCAAGTTTTTATCCAGCATCATGGTATCTATACCGAAAACCGTTGCTCTTGTTATTGGAAGTACACGAGTTCCTCGTGTCGGATCTCGTGTGGCGTCTCTCCTCCTCGACAATCTCCGGCCGAAAGCCGAAAAGTCCAACATCAAGCTCGCAACCGTTGATATTGCTGAATTCAAACTACCCGTTTTCGACGAGAATGTGATTCCAGCAACAGTTCCTGCAAAAGCATCGTTCGCCCATGATCACACCAAAGCTTGGAGTTCCGAAATGGAAAAATACGACGGGTATATTGTTTTAAGCCCAGAATATAATTTTGGACCACCTGGAGGTCTCAAAAACGCCATTGATTATTTGTACAATGAGATCAAGGGGAAACCCGTTCTCATCGTTACATACGGAGCAAAGGGGGGCATTTTCGCGTCCGAGATGTTGGACAAAATCTTTAGCGGGATGGGGTTACAAGTTTGTGCAACGCGGCCATCCCTACCTTTCCAGGGACCAGATATCGCTTCCGCTATGTCAGAGGGGATACTGGCTGATGCGACGAGACAGGCGTGGGATCAAGGGAGGATGACAGAAATTTTCAAAGGGTTTACCGAGTTGGAGCAGGCGCTCAAGGCGAATTCAGCATGATCAGTGGGGTTCAAAATTCAGTCAGTCTAGATATGCTGCTTCAAGCATTTTCATCATTTGGGATCCTGTTTGGAGTTATCTGGGAGCACCTGTGCACATATTACATTAGATGTGGGATGGATACACCATAGGTGCAAGAAATGGGGAGTACCTACTTGCAGTGGATATAATTATAACATGCTTCATCCATAGAAGTGTTGAAGGGTGAATTTTGTTCCTGTGGGTGTACATATTGAAAACCATGGTTGGACCTTGGACAGAGGAATAGTATCCATTGTCCGCAATTATGTTGCGAACAGGTACTCCGAACCGTGCATACACAACGACGTGGTGACCTTGTGGCTGGTGATTGGTTGGAACAACTTTCGACCCTGTCCCGAGCAAGTTGCCAACTAACTAGCTCACGGCGGGAAGCGCCCTTCCTGACATCTCACACCCGTGCACACAAGCCCCGCGAGTACAAATCGCACATGGCGGCATCAGAAACTCTGACTCGATGAACTCTGGCTTTGCGATCGAACATCTTATCGTGATGCCGGGTACCTTAAAGCTTACTCTGTCGCCCTGCTGGCCCCTGTACGGTCCTGCAAGCGGTGAACAGGGCGGCATAAGACAATCACTGGGACAGGAGGCATATGCTACCATTGAGACCGGGACGTCTGATTTCTCCGCTCTGCTGCAAGATACATGTAGCTCCATCCCCGCCATGTCAGTGGCATGTGTTCATTTGATAGGACGAAGCTCAAATCCAGTTTTGTGTGTTTCCGCAGCGAAGATCCAGTCGCGGAACCATCTTACCCAGCACCATTAAATTGGATTTGATTCCCTCAGCCCCTATCGTCCTTCTTTTTGTCTCTAATATTTTGTGCTCCTTGATTCTCCTGTTGCCAGCCACGCCAACATCCTGCCTGGTCGACTTTGCAGCAATCATGCGCATCGTTGGCAGCATCTTCTCACTCCTAGGCCTACAAGGCCCCAGCACCTTGTACATTAAAATTGCCGCTGCTGGCATTTTAGTGGTGGGGTTCATTTTTTTCATATTCTTGCTTAATATTCGCAATCCAAAGACAAACTGTAATGGCTTTCTATTCTCATATGCCATTTTTTTTTACGCCAACTTCCTCAAACCATTTAACTTTGCAGAAGGGAGGAGTCAGAAACATGCGCTGGAAAGTTTCTACGGAACGCAGGTGGCTATCATCCGAAGAAGAGATCGATCTATGCAACAAGAAGTCCTGAGCCGCTAATCTCTAGTCAGGCCAATATCTATGATTCTACCCGCAAACGTCTTCTCAAAGGTAGAGAAGATATGCTCGGGTTGCTGGCTGGCCAGTTGGAGTTCCAAGCTAGCCAGAAAAACGACCCTCAAAAAAAGCTGATTTGGGTGGATGTGAGTTAATATTCCGTGTACGCATAGGACGCGGTTACTTACTGTAATCGAAAACAGATCGGTGGTGGAACCGGGTATGCTTGAAAGCTGGATATGGTTCCAGGGCCGTTTTTAACAGTTCCCCAACAGTTACAACATCGAGGCCATGGCCGCGTTTGTGCCTGTTGAAACCTTTTTCAGCCATGTATATCTGGTTGACCTCTCGCCATCGTTGTGTGAAGTTGCGCGACAAAGATTTGCCCGGCTTGGATGGAAAAACGTATCCGTAGTCTGCCAGGATGCACGGGAGTTTCGCCTCCCTACTGCGCCCAGTGGACATGGAACTAGCTCAGACGATATGAAGGCGAATTTGATAACCATGAGCTACAGCCTGTCTATGATTCCTGGTGGGTTTTCAATGCATCGCTTAAACCTAAAGCCATTTGCTAAAGGTTGGATGCTTGGTAGACTATTACAGTGTTGTTGACTCCTTAACCTCGCTTCTAAGTCCATCGGGAATTGTCGGCGTATGTGATTTTTACGGTGAGCACCAGATCTCTTCCTAGAGGAATTTAGCAGCTAATGGGCACAAAGTACAAAGCATTGTTGATTTATCAGCCAGAAATTATACAGGTGGTTCATTTAATCGCCATGTCAATTGGCTTGGAAGGGTATTCTGGCGCGCCTGGTTTGATGTTGACCGGGTTGGACTCGAGCCGGCGCGAAGAGACTACCTTGAATACCGATTTGGAACGGTCATATCTTCTAGCGAAAGAAACTATCTCCTCGGTGGTATTCCATACTACATATTCATTGGATGCCACAAACAAAGTACGGAAAACCCCGAGGCATTGGCGAAGCTCGATGCTGCTTACACGGAATCACCTTACCTCTCGCCCACACGTCACCGCAAAGAGTTGTCCAAAGCAGTTGAGCAAAGCGTTCCCGGGATAAGATCCAAAGCATACGAAGCAGCCATTGTCAATCTAAGCTCCAACTTGCCGCTACCTTCGTCGTTCTACCAGCATCACCATTGGAGGATCTGGTATGATGAGCTTCATCCCAAACATACCCAGTTCAATAATGAATATATCTACGCTTTCACGTGGGAGGACCCCCGGGTTGACCATCGATTACTGAGAATTAGTAGTGACGACGTGATTTTGGCCATCTCAAGTGCTGGCGACAATATACTTGACTACTTACAATACAGCCCGCGAAAAATCCACGCCGTGGACCTCAACCCGAGCCAGAACCATCTACTTGAGCTTAAAGTAGCAAGTTTCACGGCTTTGAGCTATCTTGATGTCTGGAAGATATTTGGGGAGGGCAAACACCCTCACTTTAGAGAACTCCTGCTTTTTAAGCTTAGTCCTCATCTCTCCAGCCAAGCTTTTCAATTCTGGTTAGACCACTGCAACGTTTTTACCTCTACCTCTGGAAAAGGTCTATATGAGACTGGTGGCTCACGTTATGCTCTCAAAATGGTTCGCTACCTTTTCAACATCTTCGGATTGAACTCTGAGGTTAAAAGGCTCTGTGAGTCACAAACCTTGGACGAACAGCGTGAATTATGGCCACGGATTCGAAACATATTGCTGAGTAAACCACTGCATTGGGCCGTCGTTGGGACAGAGTGGTTTGCATGGAAAGCGGCGGGGGTCCCACCACCCCAGAGGAATATGATAATATCTGATTACATGGCGAGAAATGGCCTATCTGGTGGGGTAAAACAATCATCAGATGTCAGCGGTCAGGCTATATGGGAATATGTCGTTGACACGCTGGATCCCGTTGTCAACCACACATTAATCAGCGACGATAACTACTTTTATTTCCTATGCCTACAGGGCAAATATTCAAGGCGGTATGTTCCCTAGCACCGTACCCAAAATTCAGTGCTTACAATGCGCAGTTGTCACCCAAGCTATTTAACACCCAAATCACACTTGAAGTTGTCCACTCCGGGAGCTTTTGATGGCTTGCGTATTCATACAGATGAGATTAACGAAGTTATCGCGAGAATAACTCCTGGAACGCTTACTATTGCTGTGGCAGGTTTAAATTTTACTCCCAACCGTTCCATACTAAATCTGACTCTGTGAACTTTAGATAATGGACTCGATGGATTGGTTTGATCCGGAAGGTACCGCAGCAGCTTCACAGGCAAGAGCATTCAGTCAAGTCCTTAAAATGGACGGTCGTATCCTACTACGGTCCGCGTCGATTGAACCCTGGTATATTAAAATTTTTGAAGCCAATGGATTTTCAGCCCGGCGTGTAGGAGCTAGGTTTCCCGGATCATGCATTGATCGGTGAGAAAAAATATTTTCCCCTATGTTGAGCCGATTCAAGCGGTCGTTCTGACAACAAACCCGCAGTGTGAATATGTATGCATCGACGTGGATTGTAACGAAGACTGTGGAGTTGTTTCTAAATTCTACAGAATCAGTACGCCCGCTGAAACAGAGAACTATTAGTGTCTCATCAAGCAGTGTGGATGATCTCGAAATCTGAATTTGCATGGGCAGTATTCCTCATACTTCTGAGAAACGTTTTGCGGGGGAGTCTGGAATCATGGTTCTGTTTTTACTATGAGCTCGACTTTGCTGTGCACGGATTATGCGTCAACGCTTCAATAATCAACTCTCCCCCAAAATTCCAGCAAAGCTTTGTCTGTTATTTACGGCAGTCTGTGTACACGTATGCATGTCATGAGCAAAATACGTCAACTGGTGTCTTGCAGACTGCACTCCTCGGGGAACTTAGGTATAATGCTCCATAACCAGCTACATATAGTACCTACGTCTAGATGTCCTTAGTCATGGAGAACTGTTAACCAAATTGACACCTTTCTTGAAGGAAATTTTTGATTTTTCCATGCAAGGTGCACACTGAGTCTGCAGATACAAAGAGATTGTCATTCTTTGTCCTTGATAGTGCTGATCCAGGGGCAATGTGCTTGGAGCCGACGCTCGCCAATATCCCTTTCGCCTTTCCAGCGAGGGCAAGTCCTTAGCCTACATCGCCTCCCTCCCCCACACGGGTAAGTTCCGAGTCGTTTGCCACTGCATGCAAAGGAGGAACGAGTCATCTCGGGCACATGAGTTAGAGTTCCAGCACCCGAACCCACGGGTCGGGGTCCCTTTCCTGCCTAGCGCCTTCGCCAGCGTAACCCTGACCGCCGGCCAACTTCAACCAACGGCCCCGATCAGCTTGTGAACCCAACACTTTTCAAAAGAACTACTCGTCAAGTCGAACTCCGACCCCTGTCGGCCTGTGAATACAACCACGCACAGAGAAAACATCCCGTTCCCGTATCAGCACATTCGGACTCACAGGAAGGCCAGGGCTTCTGGGCGGCGAACCCTTTTGAGTTTACGACGGTGGTCTCCACAAGTAACCATCCGCTGTCGCCGACCGAGAACTTGAAAGAGACCGTGAGGCTCTCAAAATGCACCCTTGTCTTATATAGACCCCTCTCCCCCGTTATCCCAAGGCCGTAGAAACACACTTCTACAATTATAAACCCTGTTCTCAAATCTGATCCATCATACCGAAAATGTCATCCGCAACCTACGAAATACTCCCGATCTTAGAATCCGATCTCGCCAGTATCAGCGAAATCGAAAATCTTGCCTTTGAAGGCGAGGAAGTCTCGCGGATAGTATTTGCTAGCCCCAATTCAGCTACAAAAGAGTTCCGCATACAACGGTTGAAGAAATCATTGACTGAAGACCCTACTACTCGGTTTGCAAAAGTCGTGATTGGCGGAAAACTCGCCGGAATTGCTCAATGGAACCTTCATTTAGATCCGAATTGGCATTTGAAAAACGAGAAGAAAGAGGAGGAAGGGGGCGCTGACTCGCAAGATAAGAAGAATAAAAATTTCCCCCCCGGTGCAAATGTAGAAGCCTGTGAGGAATTCTTTGGTTGGATGTATGGAGCAAGGAAGAGGATAATGGGGGGACAAAAGTTTCTTCGTATGTTTTGCCCTTTTACTCTCTTGGAATTTTGAAAAGAAAGAGGAGCGAGCGTTCCTCCCGACTAACATTATCGTTGGTAAGTCCTTGCGCTCCTAATCACGCGGCCGGAATTCCAAGGCCGTGGCGTCGGATCCGCACTATTGAAAGATGGCCTTGCCGTTGCGGATAAATACAATATTCCTGTATGGCTTGAAGCTTCGCCTCGAGGGTACCCTGTATATAAGAAGTTCGGGTTCCAAGATGTTGAACATTTCGATCTGGATTTGTCCAAATACGGTGGAAGCACCGTTTCGAGAACCGTAGGGATGCTGAGACCCTCAAAAGGAGCCACTTCAAGTGCTTAATCCTTTGCTCGTGGAGGATCCATGCCAGCAGCAGAGTATGCCCGCTCGATATATGTTGATGGTAGATAGTACAAAGCAGCCAGATCTAAGTGATCAACGCATTCCGTTGTCTAAAAAATGCCTACCGACTCTAAAGATTATGGTGAAATAGACTGAGTGACTATAGAGCGAAGGAACTGATGTCCAGTATTCCCCCGGATGAGAGAGACCTTACAAATACATGGGTTCACATCAGGGTTCAAATCCGGCGACGATGACCCATCTGAACATTGAGACATTAACTAATTCAATTCCATTTTCCCAAATTCATCCACTACCCACTGGCAGAATTCTTCCCACGAGGCTTTCCACTTCTTCATTCTATCCGCGCGAATTCCGTTCCCACCATATCCGTTATCAATGTCTTTGACCCAGTCCGCCTCCGTCTGATCCTCATGTACTGCCCAACGAACACTATTCCCCGCAAGGCAGCCCAAACCAGCAAGTCCAAGATTCTCCCATGACTGGAGGGCTTCCCAAAAGTCATGGGTCATGCCGGAGGTTCCTTGACCTAATAATGCGGGGTCATCATTGCTAAGCGACGCCGAAATCCCTCTCGCCAGGAGCGCGGGTAAAGGATGAGCTAGCACTGTAGATGTCAATCTAAGAACTTCATTTGATATAGGGCAACTTTCAATTAAAATCCTCTTCTCTTTGACAATTTCGATCAAGTCAGGGTGTTTGAAAAGCGAAAACCCATGGCCAAGCCTTCGAGTCCCAAACAAGATGGCATCAAAGAGATTCTCATCTGTACTATCACCATCTCCAAGGCATTCACCAGCGTGGAAGAGGAAGGGAACCTCAAGCTCTTCTTCAACACATTTCTGACGGAACCAAAGGATTTCATAGGAGAGTTCCTTGAGGGTTTTACCAAGGTCTTCCTGCCCGACGAGGTCGAATCCGGCTATCAAATCTGGATACTGCTTTTTCGCCCTGATGCAGTTTTGCATGCCTATGAGCCGTAAGTATAAAAAGGGAATGAGAGAAAGTATAACAGAACGCATACTTCTTAAGATTGCTCCTGCCGAATTGAAGCGTAGTGCAGTCCAGATGATTCGTGCGCCCCAGAAATCTCTCCCTTCCTCACTAGCTTTGAAACTTTCAATTTCTTCGGCAATGACTCCAATCATTGAACAAAAGTCGTCTTCCGTGGTGTCGCTGTTTGCTTTTCTATATGGACACGCAAATGCATCTCTAATTTCCACCCACTGAACGCCATCCTCTGCAAGGGTCTGGAGCAATTTTCTTATAAGCTTTCGAAGGATTGGCTCGTAATAAATTATGGAGTGAATGATAGGAAAAGCGCCTTGCATCTTTCGCCAAATAGCATCGACTCCGAGGTGATGCTCGATCGCTTCCTTTTCGACGATAGAGCACCGGTCTTTCAGCCATGTAATGAAGCCGGCACGTCCGTCTTTCGGGAAAGTTTCCGCCGCGACAGCCGCTGGGATCAGGGTATTTGGGGAATATTCGGGAGTCCAAATCGACAAGCTTGGTTTAGTTGATGCCTTTGAGAAACCAAAAAAAACGGAAGCAGCCTGACACGCCGTATCCGATGTCAACGGTTGAGAAGCATAAAATTGCATCCCCGGAGTGTCTAAAGCCACGTTGAACAACCACCCCAGGTCAACCATAGCAGGCAAATGAGAATGTAGTAACGCTCCTTTTGGGAGCCTTCTGCAAATGCGCCAAAGATTCGTGGACTCCATCCGCTCTTTGGCGAGGCTAAACATCATGCCCGGGAAGAGTTCAGCATCATGATCTCCCTGGGTCCCGGTGTGACGCCATAGTCTTTGTTGCTCTTCTGCACGGATGTGATGGACGATCTCGCATGCTTTTCGGGCTGTTGGGCTCAAAGTACGACGGAATTCGGCATCTAGGAGCATATATATTAGATTAAGAGCATACCTAGGAGAAGCCAACGAGGGCTAACCGCTCCGATGCTTCTTCTCCTGGGAAATCAGATCCTTTCGCTTTATAAGGTGCTCTCGCACAGATGCGGATACATGATGTGAAAACCCGGTCAGAACAGGGTCTTCCATGCCGTGCATCAAATGAAGTATAACACCCGAGACTTTCAGTTGGCAAGAGAAGAAAACCGACGGCTTCTTGCAGATATGTGATAACAAGGAGTTAGATTTGACTACTTAAATGTATCCTCTCCGCAGCCAAAACTGAATGTATTTTGTCAGTGCCTTGAGGCTGCTGCAGGGAGTTGTCATAACTTTGTTGAATGGATCCTGGTACGAAGGAGTTAAATGCGAACGCCGAGTTGCATTTGACTCGTTGGGGGTATCGCGTTCTCGCTCTGCGGCCTGATAGTTAAGGTAGTTCACCACTAAGCAAGCCACACCACTAAACAAGCCAAATCTTCCATCACCAAAATTCCTCCAACATTCAACATTCAATATGCAACAACATGGTCAACAATGCCTTAATTAGACTTGCAATTGAAGATCTTGAATCACAAGAGACCCCAAATTACACTGCAACCACAAGAAAGTACTTAGTTAATCAAGAGATTCTGTACCAACAGTATAAAGACTTGCAACTTGCTCAGAATAAAGCAGTCTCTCAATATAAGAAAAAGCTCTCTAATATACAGAAGACAGAGCTTCTGAATTATATAAATAAGCTCTCTAGCTGCAGTCTTGCCATTACATCTCAGATTCTACAAAATATTATATAAGAGATGACAGAAGAGAATATTGAAATCAACTAAATTAATTAATTTTATGAGTAATATAATAATAAGATCAAATGTATTTATCTCAAAATAATTAATTAAAATAAACAGATAGTAGATAACTATCAGTATTTTAAGCACTTCTATATACTTGTAATTTAATGATTTATTTAATTACTTGTAATTGTAGTTGTTGATGCTAGCTAATTATTTGACTACTACTTATAAAATAGTTGAAGCAGAAAATTAATCAATATAATCTTGAGCTCTCAAATATTTATAACTTTAATAAAAAAGAATTTCTTCTAGGCTTCTGCTATGTCTTAAAGTAATTAGTCTCTATTGAAGCTCTACAAGCTAGAAAGAATATCACTACTCAGAATAGTAGTTGGGAATTTTTCTTATTACTCTGCTCAGTCTCTGCTGAAGAAATTATACTATCTCCAGCTCTTATTTACCAGAACAAATCACAAGATCTCCAGAATATATAACTAGATAATTATGATAGAAGCAAATAGACTTACTTTGCAGCTTCAACAAATAATTAGAGCAATAATAAATATAAACTGAAGTAGTTAAAATAGGTTTTTAATCAGCATACTAAGAAACAAGCTGGTTAAGAAAGATATCTGCTTCTACTAGATGGTCATTCCTTTCATATAAATATAAAATTTATTAAATATACTGATTATAAAAAGATTCTTCTTATGATTCTTCTGCCACATTTAATCTACTATGTTAGGTGAACTGGTTGTAGGTCATGTAGGTTTTCCCAAGATTAGAGGTATGAAAGAGCTAAGTAGGTACAATGCCTGCAACTGATGGGAGAGAGTCATGTGTAAAACATAGAGGTTCTCTTACTCAGAGACTGAACACTGGAGTTCTCACAATCCATGCAAATCATGTGATTCTTATATATTCAGTATTGGGGTCACATGAATATCTCTGAACATCTGATATTGTTCAATGCTTGGTTGATCTAGATCTACATTCATAATACTATCCCCCCTCTCCAGAGGCCTCAGACTCCAAGACATAGAGCTACTAAAGTGGTTTTTCATACATTATTATAGCTCCTCTATTATTAATAAAGTATTATAGGTTCTTGAATATGTAAGCTTCTGCATTACTCACTGCTTGTTTATATAGATATTCTGCATGTGTATCACTGCTGGTTGCAGTAGACATTCTTTGTTGTAGAACAGCAATTATTTTATTATAAAAGTCCAGCATTTTGTCATGTGCTTATTTCTTTATTTGTTTACTTGTCTGATTGCTATATTGTCTGTTATCTGTTATCATGTTGTTTATCAACAAGTTGTGAGACTAGTAATCTTGATGCATTATAATAAGTATAAATAGAGAGTTTCTGGCTCTCTTCTTTCTTCTTTTCTTCTACTTTGTTTGGGCTCAGATGTTATTTCTCATTTATTTTATAACTTGTCACAATATTGTTGTTGAAAGACTCTGTTGTATATAATAAAGAAGACACTCTTTCATACTCTGTCTGTATTTACTTGATATTTATAGATTATCTAAATAAAGATGAGTCTTGTTTATAGAATACTGAGAAGAAATCTTGTTCTTATTATTTAAAACATCAAATCTGTATTTGTTATAATATAAGTGTATCTTTATCCATTCTTTTTGTTGTTCTGACATGGCTGTAGATTCCAGAATCTACTGTTGAACTAGTTCATCAGCTCTTGCAACTTTAAGAAGAATACTATAGTTTTGATGCAGCCAATCCACATTATTCATACAACATCAAGTGCATGAGTATACTCATGCATGAATTTCATGAGCTTAACTCAGAAGCTACTAAATGTCACCACTGCCAGATCACTTCTACTATTAAAGAATCTTCCATAAAATATTATTGTTCTGTCTTACACTATATAGTCAAGACTGTAGATCTTATGTCTGAGACAGAATCTACTAAAGATAGTCTGTCTGAATTCTCTTGTTTGTCAAGTCCAGTTCATATTGTTCTCTCTTAGATAAAAAATAAAGTTGCAAATATCTGAGTCTTGCTTGATTATCTTATAACTTATTTAATGAGTGGAATCAAAGCTCTTCAAGACAGTATGAAAACTGGTCTTGTAGATCTTTTATATTATCTTACTTGTTCTCAGACTAACTTCTGCTTAGACTAATCTTATGTCTTCTATTAATTATCTAACTGATGTTGTTTCTTCTGATTTTTGAAGTATTGTAGAAATACTTTATTCTCTTTATACTTCTTTATCTGTAATGTCTTTCTTTGTGACTGCATCTTCTGTTGTGGTCCCATCTGTTATTATACCAAACATATCTGCAACTTCCAAGCCTCACTTGTCTATAGCTGGTTCATCATCATCACAGCCACATCTCAGGCACTCTTGCAGTACACCTTCTCACTATTAAATTCTTGATTTCATAGGCACATTGTGGTCTTTATGTTTGTTTTATGTCACATTTACCTTTCTTCCTGTATATAGGTTCTTTGATAATAACATCACTTCATCACCAGGTGCATACACTTTATCTTGACATCTTCAGTTATAGAATCATGCTTGGTCCTCTTTTGCTTTTGTCAAATATTCTACCAGGCTATCTCTTAATGCAGAGATCATCCTCAGTCTTCTGTCAGGCACTGTCTGTGCATCATCATCATTATTGACTGACTTCTGGATCTTGTCTGGTCCCCTAGATTCAAAGCTGTACATTGCTTTAAATGAGAACATGTGTGTTATGAAGTGTTCTGATCTATTGTATGCAAATTCTGCATACACAAGCCACTTCTTCCAGTTGTCTTGTCTATAGCTACAATAGACACAAAGATATCTCTTCAAAATCTTGTTCAGTGTCTCTGTTTGACTATCTGTTTGTGGGTGGAATGCTGTGCTAAGTTTTTGTCTAACTTTTATATGAAAATATAGCTCTGACCAGTATTTACTTGTGAAAACAGATCTCTGATCTGAAATAATATTATTTAAAAATTCAAAGTCTTTAAACACTCTTCTGAACAGAAGATTTGCTATCTCTGATGTGTTAATCTTCTTTTTATATGCAAGAAAATGTGCAAGCTTTATAAATCAATCTACAATAACTAGGACTGCATCATATGAGTTCCTCTCCTCTCTACTTGGGGGAGGTCTGTTATAAAGTTCATGAATATTGAACACCAGGGACCACTAGATATCAGCAATAATGTGAGCAACTCATATGGTTTGTGTGTTGGAGTCTTCTCTCATTGGCAGGTTTGGCATTCACATATATATATCTGGACATCTTGTCTTATTGATTATCAATTATATTTTTGCTGGAGCAAGACAAATGTCTTCACCATATCAAAGTAATCTGTAAATAGGTTGTTGTGGTAGACTTGTAGTAGTTCCTGTCTTAGAGCTGGATTATTAGAGATGTAGATTCTGCTGCTCTTTATTAAAAGATCTTATTTATCTATTTTTCACTCTGACTGCTGAGATTCTGTCTTGATAAATCTTGCTTGTACAGAGAGATCATCTTCTGTGCTTCTAGTAGCAGATTCAACATACTTACAGTTAGTTTATTATAGATCTTTTTGTTTTTTGTTACTATATTTGCATGCATATGAGGAATCTAGAATCTTCTGTAATTTCTTTGTTAAGCCTCCCCAGTATCTTTGGCTGGTGCTCTCTGAACTGACTTAACTATCTTGATGTCACTAGATCTTCTCTGCACCATCTCTACTCTACTGCTTTGAACAGTGTGAGCAGCATATACTTGAATATCTTCTTTATTAAAGAAAGTTCCTTTAAATAAGTCTCACTCTGGAACATTATCTGTATAATATTGTTTGAGTATATATGTCAGCAAACCAATGTCTTCTTCTAGTTTGATATAATCTGGTCTTTGTGATAATATATTGGCTGGGTTATGCTTCTCAGGACAGTAGAGAATCTCAAAGTCATATGCTCTGAGAATCTCTATCTATCTTATGTATTGTTGTTGTGCCACCTTGTTTGTGGACTTTATAAATAAATGAAGATTTGCATAATTTGTGATAATCTTTACAGAGTACTTTATTTTTTCTAAGTACTGCTGTTAATAAACAAACACTTGAACAATGGTCAACATCTTCTTATTCAGTATACTATAGACTTATTGAGTCTGGTCAAACTTGAATAACCAGTAGACAACTGGATGCTACTTATCTTTAAACAGCTGTAGTAATATCATATCTGCAGTATGTTCTGAAGTGTCTGTCTCCAGATGTATTCTACATTTTAAATTATAGTGCTAGATAACAGGCTCTCTGAAGAAGACTGTCTGCAACTTGTGAAATACTTTTCTGACAGCAGATATTAGAAGAAAAAATTTTTTCTTTCTTTTTTCTTTACTGTTCTTCAAAAGATCTGTCAACAGTATTATAATAATCAAGTACTTTCATATGAATCTTCAATAGAAGTTCACAAAACCTAGAAATATCTAAATATCATGGAAACTTTGTGGCAA